GAAAATCCATATGACGAACTCCAACAGGCACATCGTGAAAATATACAATGCTGCTCTGGAAACACTGTTAACAGATAAACCACCGGAAACATCACAGAAGTTAACAACGTCATATACGCCACAGCTTTAGCAGCGACTCGGAAGCTTGGAGTCAAGACAATAAATAAAATTAACAGACACAGAGAACCAGCTTGGAAAACCAAACTGATTCGAGAAATACAACTAATCAGATGTGAGCTTTCTATATTAGATGAGCTCACCAGAAACCCTAATATTTCCACACGTAAATTCAAAAAGATCAAGCGAAATATAACATTAAATCCCTAATTGATATTCCATCAATCAAGGAAATGCTGAAGCAGAAACTTCAGCTGAAGGCGCAGAGAACAAGACGATACGAAAAAAACGTTGTAGGTTCTATCGCCAAAATAAAATATTCGAACAGATCTTAAGAAATTTTACAGGAAATTGGAAAACACCTATACATGTAGAAAGGCCACCATCGATTGATAATGTACAGACATTCTGGGAAAATATCTGGAGCAGCCCAAAGGAGTATAACCCAAATGCAGAGTGGATACGGCGTGAAGAAGAACGAATGCTGGATACACCTCTGCAAGAATGGGAAAATATATCCACAGATGATGTTAGGCAAGCTCTAACGAAATCCCAAAAGTGGAAATCCCAGGAAGTGACAAGTTGCCCAATTTCTGGCTGTATCATCTCACATCTACCCATGAAATTCTTGCAAAAACATTATCAACGCTTGTAAATAATCCCTATGAAACCCCGAATGGATTACTGAAGGTATGACATACCTCATACCAAAAAACAACTGAAACAGACGACCCGAAAAAAATTAGACCGATAACATGTCTCTCCACAACGTATAAGTTGATCACGTCTGTATTGACGAACCGTACTTATTCCTTTCTCGAAACAAACAGCACTCTCCCGCTGGAACAGAAGGGATGCAGAAGAGGTTCATATGGCTGCAAGGATCAACTTCTGATAAATAAGATGATCCTGGAAAATTGCAGGAGACGACGCAGGAACCTAAGTGCAGCGTGGATTGATTATCGTAAAGCCTTTGATAGTGTTCCACATTCTTGGATCCTTAAGACTTTGGAAATGTACAAAGTCACCCCTGTGGTATTAAATTTCCTAAAGCACAGCATGGGAATGTGGAACACCAAACTATACCTTAGTCACACCGGGGGCACTGCCATATCCAACCGTCTGAATATCCGACGTGGAATCTTTCAAGGAGACTCTCTGTCACCCCTTCTGTTTTGTTTATCCTTAATCCCTCTTACACATGAACTGAACAACAGTAGCTATGGTTACAAAATAAATAAGAAAATATTCAATCACCTACTCTACATGGATGATCTCAAACTCTTTGCCAAAGACGACAATGAGTTGAAAGGCCTCCTCAATATTGTAAAATACTTCAGTGACGACATAGGTATGGACTTCGGATTAGATAAATGTGCAAAAGTAACTTTCAAGAAAGGTAGAATTACAGAAACACCCTTAATAGATTTAGATTTTGTCACAAAGATTAGGGAACTGGAGCATGGTGAAGCTTATAAGTACCTAGGAATTAGCGAAGGAGATGGCATACAACACCCCAAATGAAGGAAAAATAAGAAAAGAATACTACAGGCGTGTACGTCTGGTACTAAATACTGAGCTGAACTCAAAAAACAGGATATCAGCCATAAACACATTGGCTGTCCCTGTGGTGCAATACAGCTTTAATGTCCTTAACTGGACCATAGCTGAAATTAAGCGACTGGATGCCAAAACGAGAAAGCTACTCACTTGCTATCGCATGCATCATCCCAAAGCTGATGTCGACCGTCTGTATGTGCCCAGATCCGAAGGAGGCAGAGGATTAGTTCAACTAGAACTGTCCTACAAAACTACAACAATTGGCCTCCAAAGATATTTGGAAACTACAGAAGACTGGATGATGGTGTGCGTCAAGGAACATGAAAGTAGTAAGCGTCTCTCTCCGTAATGAAGGAAGCCAACAAATTCAAAATGGAGTTCCAAATGGGCGTCGAGATGCAACTACAGCACAATACACCGGCTGAAACTGCAAAATACCTAAAAAGATAGCTAAGACGAATGCAACAGACCAGTTACAGAAGCGATGGCAAGATAAACCGCTTCATGGCCAATACTCTGCCCGTACCAAACAAGCTGACGTAGACAAAACCCGTACCCATCAGTGGCTACGTGGTGCAGGGTTGAAAGCGGAAACTGAAGGTTTTATCCTTGCTGCAGGGACCAATGCTTGCTAACTAGGAATTATCAAGCACATATACTAAAATATTGTGTCAGTCCAAAATGCAGATTCTGTGATAAATATCCAGAAACGATTGATCATCTTGTAGCAGGTTGTGCGGTGTTGGCACCCACTGAATATAAAACCCGACATGACAGAGTGGGCCAATATCTGCACTGGAAAATCTGCAACTTCTACGGGAAGAAAACTGAAAGAAACTGGTATGAACACCACCCAGACCGGTTACGGAGATAGGACCTGTTACAATTCTATGGGACTACACAATACACACTGACAGAACAATCAAGGCCAACCGCCCAGATATTGTTATTAAAGACCATAAACAAAAACGGTGCCTCCTTATTGATATGGCAGTCCCTGCCGACTGCAATGTATCGTTGAAGATATTCAAAAAGTTGTCAAAGTACAAGGACCTTGAAATAGAAATCGCGAAAATGTGGCATATGGGAACATCAACAATCCCTGTTGTAGTTGGAGCCCTAGGACTGGTTGGAAAAGATCCCAGTAGACTAATTGAAGGGATACCTGGAAGTCCATGCCTCAAGGAGATACAGAAAATTGTTCTGACAAGTACAGCCCACACCTTACGAAGGGCTTTATCTATGTAATTTTTTTTTTTTTTTTTTTTTTGTCAGTGGAAAGTGTCATGACGCCATTTCTAACCTTAGGTCCCTGGGCGGGACCGGAAAGAAATGTGTAAACGCCAGAAATCAAAGAAAATAAAAATAATAATAATAATAAAATTATGGCCATTCTAAACTCTGTAATTGAATATCGTTTTGATGATAATATAAACGAGTATAAAAGTTTCACAAAGAATTCTCTGCTGAGAACACAGAGGAGAATATGACCAAGAATTGCTTGAACTCAATTCCTTGCAGTTGTGACAGAGAATATAAAGGAGAAACAAGCCCCACCCTGAAAGTAAAACTAGAGTAACATTGAAAAGCCATTGTGAGAGTTGAGATAATGAAATCAAGCATGGCTGATTATGTATGGAGGGAAAAAGTAGTAGCCAGCCCCTGTGGAATGAAGAGAAAATACTGGACAAGGAAGAACACTGGACAAGAAAGAACACTGGAGAGTTGTATGGCAGAATCAGTGCATATGCTAGCCTATGTGAACCTCCTTAGTAGGCCTAGCATAGAAATAAATACAATATGACAACCACTAATGAAGAAAGAAATGACAGCAAGTCTTCAACTGCAGCAGCAGGAATCAAAACATGGGCAGCAGCTGTTGCACCCTAATTAGCAGGCAGGTTAGGTTTAAGGCTCTAAGTTGATGTGGGAATGTGATGATATAGTGGTTGTAAGTTCAATCCCAAGTCAGACTTTGTGTATTTGCATTCAGTGGAAATGGATGAGCAATAACTGAACAATACTAAATAAAAATTATAATTAAATGATGTCCTGAGACATTGGTAGTGAAACAAGAATAGTCTACCCCCATAGATTAAATAAAAGGTTCAGTTTAGTTTGCCCAGATCAATATACATCTGAGGAAATCCAGAGGGCACCACGGCCAAAACATTATAACAACAACAAAGATTGAGGACAACAGTCCAAATATAAATAGCGTAAATTATTTTTACATAACTAACCACTTTTTTCATCTTAATCTACGTGTTCATCTGGCTAGAAGTAGGAATTTTATTCAACCATGTGACTACAATCAAACCCTTTTCTAAATTACTGAAATGCAGAAGGATGTATGCCTATATTTTATAGATTATGCAAAAGCATCACAAAGAACTGTTGGAACTGCTAGGTAACCTTGACACACCTGGGAAGGATATTAGAATAATCCAGAACCTATACTAGAAAGGGGTGTAAGGCAAAGATGTGAGACTTATTCAACCTATACAGTAAGGTGATCCTATAAAAATTACAATCTTAACAACACAAGATATGCAGATGACACAGTGTTGATAGCAGACAAAGACAATAACTCCTACAGACAGTAGTGAAGGAAAACGAGAAGAAAGGACTAACATCAATTGCAAGAAAGACTGAATGCATGGTTGTTAACAAAAACAACAGCCCAACATGCAAATTACAAATTGGAGATACGAAAATCAAACAAGTACAACAATTGAAATATCTGAGAAGTGTTTTAACAGAAGACAGAAAGTGTGACACTGAAATCTGAAGGCACATTGGTATAATGAAAGATATCATCCAAAAGCTAAGCAAACTATTAAGAAAAAGAAAAATATAATTAGAAACAAAGAATACTGAACTGTCCTCCTATATGGCAGTGAATGCTGAACAATTTCCTCACAGATGAAGAGATTTGAAGCAACAAAAATGTGGTTCTACAAAAGGATACTGGGAATGGACCAAACATGTGAGCAACAATGAAGTTCTACAGACAATGGAAATGAAAAGGACACTTATACTTAACAGGAAGGATTTCTAGCAAATTATATGAGAAAAGAGTGTTTGGAAAATTTGACAGTCACAGGAAATATTGAAAGACCCCTTGCCTTCAAGAGGAAAACAGCCCAGGGGTGGCTAACAAGCTTGTGTAAATGGATGGCAGAAAAGGGGAGATAAGAAAAAGACAAAATATATTAAGAGCTACAAAGGACATAAAATTATGGAGACAAAGAAGATGACAATGACTCAGTATGCTGAGTATAACATCAGAAAACAACAAAATACTTCAATTTTTCTCTTACTTGTAAATAAGATTTCATAGAGACACCAAATTGTTTGGCATCAAATTTATTCATCAGGTTGCCATCCCTGTGGCAAGAGAGGCTGAGGGTAAATTGTAGAGAAGCTGTCAGCAATTTCCTGGAGGAAAAGAATTTGCAAAACATCAGGAATAATTGTAAACAAAGAAAAAATATCTTCAAAAAACAGATGTCAGCAATGATGCAGTCATTCATTCATGTATTTGATTATATATAATCTTATTTAAATTGAGTTAAATAAGATTTGACACATTTTGAAATTTTACAATAGACAAATTATTTTCAAACAAAAAGGCATGAGAAAATGATTTTAAAAGAAAATGTATTTTGAAATGATGTTCCTATAAATGGCATTCAAAAAGTCTTGTAAAATTTACTGGGAAATGAAATTTTTTTTATGAAAATAAATTGGGAAATAATTTTAAGATAAAAATGAATTGTTAAGTGATTTTGCATTAGAAAGGGATTTAATATAAAATAAAGCCTATTTACAATTGAAAATATATGTGATTTTTATTAGTTTTACATATTTATACATATGCATGTTTTGAATTGAAAAATATGTACATCTTTGTTATTTTAACATTTATGACAATTCTGCAGATTTCAATTTCGAAAATATGTCCATTTTGTTTTTTTTAATTATTTATGCAAATATCTGCTGATTACAATTTAAAAAATGTGTATCTTTAAGTTGTTGTAATATTTATGCCAATTTCAAATTTGAAAATATGTATATTTTGGTTATTTTACTTATTTAATTTCTGCAGATTTCTATTTGAAAAAAGTATACAATTCAGTTAATTTAAATTTTGGATATTTTACGTATTTATGTACATTTCTGCCGACTTCACTTTCAAAAATATATACATTGTAGTTATTTTGATTATTTACGTACATTTCTATAGATTACTATTTCAAAAATGTGTACATTTCAGTTTTTTTAATATTTATGCAAATCATGCCATCTTCAATTAAGAAAATATGTATATTTTTGTAATTTTATTTCTTTATGCACATTTCGGCTGATTACAATTTCAAAAATATGTACATTAAATCATTAAATCATTTTAATATTTATGCCAATTCTGCTGATTTCAATTCCGAAAATATATACATTTTGGTTATTTTACTTCTTTATGCAAATTTCTGCCAATTTCAATTTTAAAAGTATATACGTTATAGTCATTTTAATATTTATGTAAATTATGCCAATTTCAATTTGTATATTTTGCATAATTATGATAATTTTTGCCGATTTCAATTTTAAAAATATGTATCTTTTATCATTTATAGCATTTAAGCTGATTTCAATTTGAAAAATATTTACATCTTGGTTATTTAAATTATTTATGCAAATATCTGCCAGTTTCAATTTGGAAAATATGTACATTTGGTTATTTCACATATTTATGATAATTTCTGCCAATTTCAATTTCTCAAATATGTACCTTTTAAGAATTTCATTATTTATGCCATTTCTGCCAATTTCTATTTCAAAAATATTTCCATCTTGGTTATTTAAATTATTTATGATAATATCTGCTGGTTTAAATTTGGAAAATATGTACATTTCGTTATTTCTGCCGATTTCAATTTCAAAAATATTTTCAATCTTCATTATTTAAATTATTTATGCAAATTTCTACCGGTTTCAATTTGGGAAATATGTACATTTGGTTATTTCGCATAATTATGATAATTTTTGCCGATTTCAATTTCAAAAATATGTACCTTTAAATATTTTATTATTTATGGCATTTCTGCTGATTTCAATTTCAAAAATATTTACATCTTGGTTATTTAAATTATTTATGCAAATTTCTGCCAGTTTCAATTTTTGAAAATATATACATTTGGTTATTTCACATATTTAGATAATTTCTGCCAATTTCAATTTCAAAAATATGTACCTTTTAGGTATTTTATTATCTATGGCATTTCTCCCGATTTCAATTTCAGAAATATTTACATTTTGGTTAGTTAAATTATTTATGCAAATTTCTGTTGGTTTCAATTTGGATAATATGTATATTTGGTTATTTCACATATTTATGATAATTCTTGCTGATTTCAATTTCAAAAATATTTACATCTCAGATATTTAAATTATTTATGCAAATTTCTGCCGGTTTCAATTTGGAAAATATGTACATTTGGTTATTTCATATATTTATGAAAACTTCTGCTGATTTCAATTTAAAAAAAATTGACATCTTTCTCATCTAAATTATTTATGCAAATTTCTGCCGGATTGAATTTGCGAAATATGTACATTTGGTTATTTTACATAATTATGATAATTTTTGCCGATTCAATTTAAAAAATATGTACCTTTTAGGTCTTTTATCATTTATAGCATTTCTGCTGATTTCAATTTGAAAAATATTTAAATCTCAGTTATTTAAATTATTTATGCAAATTTCTGCCGGTTTCAACTTGGAAAATATGTATATTTGGTTATTTCAAATATTTATGACAATTTCTGCAGATTTCAATTTCAAAAATATTTACTCTATAATTTATAGCATTTCTGCCGATTTCAATTTCAAAAATATGTATTTTATTCTTTATGGCATTTCTTCCGATTTCAATTTAAAAAATATTTACATCTTGGCTATTTAAATTATTTATGCAAATATCTGTCAGTTTCAATTTGGAAAATATGTACATTTCATTATTTCACATATTTTTGATAATTCTTGCCGATTTCAATTTCAAAAATATTTACATCTTGGTTATTTAAATTATTTATGATAATATCTGCTGGTTTAAATTTGGAAAATATGTACATTTCGTTATTTCACATATTTTTGATAATTCTTGCTGATTTCAATTTAAAAAATATTTACATCTTGGTTAATTACATCTTATTTACATTTAAATAGTGATTTAAATTATTTTTGTAAATTTCTGCTGGTTTCAATTAGGGAAATATGTACATTCGGTTATTTCATATATTTATGATAATTTCTGTCGATTTCAATTTCAAAAATATGTACCTTTAAATATTTTATTATTTATGGCATTTCTGCTGATTTCAATTTCAAAAATATTTACGTCTTGGTTATTTTAATTATTTATGCAAATTTCTACCAATTTCAATTTGGAAAATATGTGCGTTATAGTTATTTTAATATTTATGTTAATTATGCTGATTTCAATTTGGAAAATTATGCGTATTTGGTTATTTCACATACTTATGATAATTTCTGCCGATTTCAATTTAAAATTATGTACCTTTTAAGTTTTTTATTATTTTTGGCATCTCTGCCGATTTCAATTTCCAAAATATTTACATCTTGGTTATTTTAATTATTTGTGTAAATTTCTGCTGATTTCAATTTGAAAAATATGTTCATTATAGTTAATTTAATATTTACGTTAATTATGTCGCTTTCAGTTTGGAAAATATGTAGATTTGGTTATTTTATTTATTTATTTTTATTTCTGCCAATTTCAATTTCAAAAATATTTACATCTTGGATATTTTAATCATTTATGATAATTTCTGCCAATTTCAATGTCAAAAATATTTACATCTTGGATATTTTAATTATTTATGATAATTTCTGCCAATTTCAATGTCAAAAATATGTAACTTTTATGTACGTTATAGTTATTTTAATATTTATATCAATTATGCTGATTTCAATTTGGAAAATATGTAAATTTTTTTATTTCACTTATTTATGATAATTTCTGCTGATTTCAATTCCAAAAATATCTACCTTTTAGGTATTTTATTATTTATGGCATTTCTACCGATTTCAATTTAAAAACTATTTACATCTTGCTTATTTAAATTATGTATGCAAATTTTTGCCGATTTCAATTTTGAAAATATGTTCATTTTTCTTTTTTTAATATTTATGCCAATTATTCCAATTTCAATTCAGAAAATATTTACATTTTTTGTTATTTTACTTATTTATGCAAATTTTTGCTTATTTCTATTTCAAAATTACATACATTTTGGTTATTTTACTTATTTATCAAATTTTTACCGATTTCAATTTAAAAAATACGTACATTTTAATTATTTTAATATTTATGCCAATTTTGCCGACTTCTATTTCAAAAATATGTACATTTTTTTATTTTACATATTTTTGTGATTTCAATTTCAAAATTATGTACATTTTAGATATTTTTATGCCAATCCTTCGATATCGATACCGAAAATATGTATATTTTCATTATTTTTCTTGTTTATGCAAATTTCTGCCGAATTCAATTACAAAAATATGCCCATTATATATATTTTAATATTTATGCTAATTATGTCGATTTCAATTTGGAAAATATGTACATTTTGATTATTTTTTGTATTAATGCACATTTCTGCCAATTTCAATTTCAAAAATATGTATATTTTATTTATTTTATATTTATGCCAATTCTGCTGATTTTAATTTAAAAAAAAAAAATTAAAATTTTGGTTATTTTACTTATTTATGCAAATTTCTCCCGATTTCAATTTAAAAATATGCACATTTTAATTATTTTAATATTTATGCCAATTCTGCCAATTTAAATTTCAGAAATATGTACATTTTGGTTATTTTACTTATTTATGCAAACTTCTGCCAATTTTAATTCCAAAAATATATACATTTTAGGTATTTTAATGTATATGCTACTTGCGCCAATTTTAAGTTTGAAAATGTGTACATTTGGGTTATTTTACTTATTTATGATCAAATTTCTGCCGATTTAAATTTCAGAAATATGTACATTTTATTTATTTTATTATTTCTGCCAATTCTATCGATTTCAATTTGCAAAATATGTACAGTTTTGTTATTTTACTTATTTGTCTATTTCTATTAATAAGTTTGTCCCATTTTTGCTATTTTTCATATTTATGCCCATTATGCCTATTTTTTTGTTATTTGCATATTTGCTGACATGTAAAATTAAATAAAATTAATACTGTAAAAGACACATTTGAAAATGATTTTTCTAAAAATTTCCAATATTTAATAATTTTAAACAATTTGAATACTTGAAAATTGAATTTTGAAACTTCATTTGAAAATGATTTTACTATTTGATATATTAGGAAATGATTTAATAAAAACTGTTATTTTGGTTTTATTTCACTCTTAAAATCTATTCTGAAATGATTTTACTTACATCTCTTGGACAATAATATCTTGTCATTTTATTAGTAAATTGAAATGCATTGCTTTTCCAAATACCAAAAAAATTTTTATCCCATTTCAATTTTTCTTTGCTTGTAAATACTTACAATTTGATGCTTGAATTACTTACCGATTTCTTGGAGATGCATGAAAATTAAGAATACGTCCAATCTGTTGGTAACCAATGGAAGTGAGGAGTCTTTGAGTCTCAGGATTATCCCAAAGAGACCGGATAACCATGTCAGTTAAATGTAATTGTAAGCCCCATACCAATTTAGTAATATACATCTACAAATAAAAACCAAATATTTGTATTACATATTACAAATATTTGATTACTCTGAGGTGAGAAATGCTTCTAAATGTTCATGAATTTATAGATTTATATTAAATTTTGCATACTTTTAATATATATATATATATATATATATATACATATACACATGTGTGTGTGTGAGTGTGTGTATAAAATGGAAAATATAAAATATAAGAACACTACCTTAGCTACTCAAGTTCGTCCCTACTGCCAGGATCATTAGGCTGCGTTATGTTTTTATAATTACAAATATCATCTGCAGCTTTCTCAGTTAAATCTGTAATTGCCATTAATTTTCTTTTTCCCCTAACCTGGATGTAAATTTTGTCTGGGTTCCATGTTTACCAAGAGATATTTTTGACATGTATGCATTCTGATAGAGTTCTTGTGACTCTTTATTCAGTTTATATTTTCTATAATAGCAAAAAGTAGTTAGTTTTGATAAAAATAAAATATATAAACAAAAGAATAAAAATTAAAAGGCGGCATTTGCACTTTCTTTCTCTCTCTCTAAACTTCCTTCTATATTTATCTCAACTAACAAGAAGGCAAACCTCAAATAAAAAGAAGAGAAAAGTCTGAACCCAACCAAAAACGTTGGAAGTTTGCATGAGCAGAGCTGACTTATTTCTGACTGAAATGTACCTCAAATCAGGGGGGGTTCCATACAGAACTTCCTTTATAAACAAAAGAAATACAGGAAAATAAAATAATTTAGCCAATCAATAACTGACACAAAGAGAGTTTTTGATGATTAGCCAAAACCAAAATTTCCCACCACAAACTCTGAGCCTATTTAAAAAGGATATAAACCTGACACCTTAAGAGAGGGACCAGAATGGCACCAGGAGATGGATGGAACCAAAGAATACAGCCACATGTGATGTTTGAAGGAGCAGTTAAGAAGTCATCAGCTACTGACATCTCTACTCTGTTTCAGAGCTGAAAAGAACACAGTAGATTGAAACTGACCTAATTTCTCACATTACTTATACTCCTATCATGGTCTAACTTAAAAACAACCACAAACTGACATTTCTCCAGACTGCTAACAATATCTGCTTGATTAACAATTTGCTATGCTGAATACCAACGGACTCACACATCACTCAAAAGAAAATAAATAAAAATGAGTCAGTTCATTTTATTCCCAAAGTTTCTGATAAAATAATTATCCTACACTATATCCACATGGGCAACATTCAGATGTTAACCCTTATGCCACAGTCTAATGCAAATTACTGCTTGTTTATATTTTTCAAAGCTAGTATCCTGTCACCAATATTATTACCTCAATCTTCACTCTAATCTTCATCTGCCACAAGACTGGTGTTAGTAAAAATAATATCCTCAGGATTTTCCATTGTGATACCTGTATACTCTAAAGTCAACTAAGATATTCATTTAGTAGCCTACCAGTCAAGAAGCACAATGTTCACTATAGAAGGTTTAATTAGATATTAATGTCCACCTACAATTCTGATTTATTTCATCAACTAATTTATTTAGCAGATACCATATTGTAACTCTGTACCTAACAGCTTTATTAACTTTATATTTCATCATTCAATACAGTTTTTATACACAATAAAGGCCAACATAAACTTTGGTGACTTCTTTTTAGAAATCACTGACCTGATAAGTAGTAGTTAAGATTTTGTTATTAAACATAGAAACTAAGAATAAGATTCAGAATTTTACTACTTATTATAAAAGAATGCACATTTCTTTTGGAAACACAGAATACAAAATGGACTCTACTGTGTTCGTGTGTTCACTGGAGATAGTTATATTACCAATAGCATTTGTCTAACATTATTAATGCTACTGCCTTGTAGAAAATCATTGGAAAAATAAATTTTGTTCAATGTAAATGATTTTTCTTGAAATAATTTCCCTTTTGTTTCTAAAATGAAAAAATTTTGAAAGAAAATAAAAATTACAAAATTTTACCAAATCAATTAAAGAAGAAATTGTTTCTTGTTTCAATGGTAGAAGGCAATACCATGCCCTTATAAGGTCATAATTTGTGGAGAAATCTGCAAAAAATGTTGTAAAAATGCAAATGGAATATATCAAAAGTAAGTACAATTATAATCATGGCATCAGATGGATTAAATAACTGCAATATTTGGAGTTTTTTGCTACTTTAATAAAGACTAAAGAAAATATAAAGAAACAAAGGAAAAATGTTAGAAAATTCATCTTTCTATAAAATAAAGCACAAAAATCCTTTTCTGAGTTTCAAAATTACATCCACAGTGAACACTATCACTTCAAGACTGCAACCATGCAAAAATTACTTTTGTAAGAAAATGTAGACTCAGATAGTAGTAGGGATACAGAAAGCGATTATCTCTCTTTGGTAGAAATGGGTCATGTGATAGCTGCTTAGTGACATCACTTTATACAGTGATGAGAGTGGCCACTTTTTCAGAGCAGACAAACCAAGTGGTTGCTTTTTAGCTTGGACCAAGCTGTCTGGGCTGAGACTAAATTTGCCTCCCCCAACAGCTTACAAGTCCATGCTGTTGTTTCCCTTTTGGAATATGTCTTTCACAGATATAGAAAGAAACTCCAGCTCGCAGTCCTTGATTTGGGAAAACCCAAGACTCAATGTTTCCTATTTGTGGAATGTGTCATCACCTGTGACATAATAGATGAATCCAGCTTGTTTAACATGGCTTCTCCACACACAGGAGTATCTCCATATTATATGTAAGACCCTTCCCTTTTGTTTCTCCTTACATTCTGCTTTGCCATGTAGATATATGTGATATATTTTTCTCTGTGTGGGATTTGTGTATATATGTATATGCAGTTCTGTGTATGTCATAGTGAGAATAAAGCAAGTCTGTCATTTTTTTCCTTTCAGCCATTTCATTCCACCCATGAGTTATAATGTTATTATATCATGAATAATATAATGCCTAAAAAATATCTTGGATGCCTACCATAAAAATAAAATCAGAACAATCAAGAGATTGTGATTTGAAGAACTCGATTTTTGGCCTGAATTAGAATTTCAGCCCAAATCGGTTTTTTAGCCAGAAGTGGACATAGCCCGAATCAGAGTCAAAATGAGGTTTTAAAGTTCCATAGAGTGAATTGAGGAATTTAAAGTTATTTCTTCAAAATTATCATTGCTGTTTTCTAAGCTGGACCAGAGGTAGCTTAAAAGTCTACACAGCATGCAGCTTCAAGCTAATTTTAAATAAGATACAAAATATTCTATATATATACTGATACTAAATAAAAGGAATTATATTAATTTTAAATAATTATTTCTTCATTCAAAAATCTCAAAATATAAGGGGCTTCTGGAAAAATCTTGACCTATTTACCAAAATGTAACCAAATGATCAAATGTCAGAATTTTTTGTAGGTGATTCCAGGTTCAAGAACTTTTCAGCACCCCCTTGTATTAATTTAAAACAAAAACTTTAAAGAGAAATATTCCTCCTTCTTTTATCGTACTATCCTTATCTTCAATCAAGCAATGTTTTAAGAAAACTCTTTACCTAAATTTTAGAAGCACCATGGAATTTCCTGTTAATTGACTTTTAATAGATTATAAAGTAGTATATTAATTTTAAAATTATAATATTATAAAATAAACCTGTAAAAGTTTATTTAGAAGATAAAATGTTCCAAAGATTTTTCAGATAAAATAGAGACAAAACTAGAGAAAGCCATTTTAATGATGTCAATTGTTAAGCTACTAGCATCTACTTACCTTTAATTACTGATAATACTAAACAGACTTCCTGTAACAAACTGCCAGTCACTTGATATGGGTAAAGGACATAGGATCCATTCTGTTGGACATTTTTAGCCACAAAACTGAATCCTAGAAAGTTCAGAAGAGACATACAGATGTCATTTTTGGCAATCTCAGGAGGAAGTTCCACTGGCTTCAAATCTTGACCCACGGTTGGTGGACATTGCTTTCCTGGCCAATTGATTATCTTTAGAAAAAAAGGGTTGATAACAGGTAATTTCCTTAAAAAATACAAACATCCTTAAAATAATAAATGTCATATAACCACCATTATCAACACTGTTAGGAAGACCATGCTCTCTGCCCGTTTTTCTCTTCAATTGGGATAACCCAGACCTCAAAGGGAACTCATATATATGATCCATCACTAAATTGGCTTGAAAAATGGTATGTTCCCTGTACTGCACTAGTAAGAGCTTCACTCTTCCTCCTACCTCAAGTCCACTGCACCCTGTCCACATGTTTTTGATCATAGGATTGGCGGAATTGATTATGGCAGTGATCGAGCCACTGAGTCAAATCTTGGCAAACTGGCTATGTTGTAAAAAAAGGAATGACTTTTTGCAAAAATCATGCTAACGAAAACAGACACTTGGGTTAATTTTCAATTTGGTTTTATGTAGTTTTTTGGTGTACAAAATTAACCCTTCCCACTGCAATTTCCCCTTTTCTCCTCCTCTCTCAGTATTCCATCTGAAACCATCCTCATGGATAGGTTTTAACTGTCTCTTTGATAATTCTAATTTTAAACCAAGCAAACAAAGGGGCCATCTTATTTTAATCATAAATATCATTTTCCCAGGTTTGGTCTGGTCTAGCATATCCCCAACTTGGTCATATTGCTTACAATCCTCAGGTAACCAGGCAGGTAACCTTACAGCTGCATTTAGTTTTTCAATTCATTCAACACAGTATAAATTCCTATCTCTGGACCTGTCCACACCTTTAAATATTATAAAATATTATGCTCAATTCACAAATTGACCTCTTTTCCACTTGGGAATCATGAGACATATTTTCATAAGCAGACATAATTTATGTCATTTCAACCTTTTTGTCTGTTCCAGTTTATATTCCAAATTAACTTTTTTTTCTTTTACCAGTGTCACAGAAATTTATATTACTTTTTTTTTAACCATTAATTTATTCAATGCAAAAGTTTAACTATTTACACTATTTACATCATTCAGACTGTTGTCCTCATTTTGCCATATTCATGACATTTCTGCTGTTGTACACTCCAACCTTCTTCAGGCAATATACATTGAAATTTCAAACCAAACCATTGACAATAAAGATGAGGACAACAGTCCAAACGATGTAAACAGACTAAATAGTTACAATACCTCATCTCATAAAACATAGACAGATATATGTACAAATTTAAGTAAAATCAAGTGGAGAACAATGTAAAAAAAAACATACTTTGAAAATACAAAGAATATATCGTCATTTATAAATGAAGGAATCATTATTTCAAATTGTAAATAATATGATGCATTTTTTCTGATAGAAATAAATCAAAAGACTCTGTGTTTTATTTCTAAATTTTGAAAAAAGTTGTGTAGTAAATGATTTATGCCAAGAAATACCAAAAGTCTGAAGCAAATTCTATAAATACCAAAAGTCTATAAATACCAAAAGTCTGAAGCAAATTCTATAAATAAACTTTGATCTCAAAATTGTTAATCTGTAGTAATCCCAGTATGTACTTGGTTTAACCTAAGAAATACCAAAATAAGTTTTGTACTCTATGTCACTTTAAATAGTTAAAAAGAGCATCAAAAGTTGACCTAGAAGGTGTCTTCAAAGCCACCAAGTGTAAGATCAGGCTTCAAAGGATGTTGGTGCAAATAACAACATCAACAAGAAAGTGACCCCAAGCAGCTGAAATTAAGATATACAAAACAACTGAATAACAGGAAGTTATATAAATATTTGACCTACGAGGGGAGAAACAGCAATAAGATCAAATGCTCAAAAATGCCTTGAAACCCTCTATTTGGTCAATATTATCCAGAAGTGAATAAACAATTTTTTTTTACATAGGAAAAATTTAGTCATGCATTTTTTTAGTTGTTACTAACATCAGATGTTGTAAAGTAGAATTTTCACACATACAATTTTTGTTTTTTTCCTAAAAATGATATAAACTGATAAAAAGGTTATTTAAGGAACAAACATCCTTTATGTCATAAAGACCGAAACATTTTCAAAGATTTTTAGGTTCAGTTGTTAAATATGTGTTGTTGGCAGATTTGATTTTGATTTTGTTGTCTTTAATATTTCAGCTAGTTAGTCTATCCTTCTCTAAGAAAACATTTTTTTTTTGTTTAGCTGTATATCAACACCTCTATGAGTTATTTAATGCCAAAATCTAAATATATTTTGTATACAATTTAATTTTATTTTTAGAGATAATAATGGTTTGGTGATACAAGTTTTACTAATTAACCCATAGCTGGGGGGAGAAGAGGTGGATTTATTTCCCAAGAGTATTTATATGTAAGTGAATATAATGACAGGAGGCATAGTGGAGTAATGGACAGTGGGTCAGATTGAAGAAACGGAAAACTGAGTTCATGCTAATACCCTTGGGAAAAGGTATGAATCCTCTTCTTCTCTGCCTAGCAACCAGTCTAAGAGAAGGTAACTTTGAATTCAAAAACTGGCCTGGAGAAGGTTGGGATCCATCAGGTATTTTGCTCAACAAACACCACTTCTGCGGCTGCAGTACATGTGGTGCATTTATGACCCTGATGGGTCACAGGATTCGTAATTGCGATTGATCGAATATAAAAAGCCAACATGAATTGGAACACAGCTCTCCAATTAACAAATCCGAGTCATTATCCGTTATGCAACCCACATGTCCAAGCTTACAGCACCTGGTACTCCCAAGTGGTCACCCATCTAGTTACTGACCATGCTGGACGTTGCTTAACATCAGTTATCATATGAGAACCAGTCTTTCAAAGTGATATGGCTGTAAGTTATATCAACAGCACATCCTAGCTTACAGCACCTGGTATTCCCAAGCAGACACCCATCTAGGTACTGACCAGGCTCAACGTTGCTTAACTTCAGTGATCATATGGGAACCAATGTTTCAACATGATGTGGCTGTAAACCAAAAACATCTTAAAGAAATACTTTTTAAATTTGTTTATTCTTCAATGTAACGCCAAAAAGAAAAAGCAAAAAACAATTGTTAAGGGAAATGATTTTGAGAAATGTTACCTTGAAAACTTGGACACTTTTTACAGTATTTACATTGTTTGGACTATTGTCCTAATTTTCATTGTTATATTCACATTTCAGCCGTTGTACACTCCAGCTTTCTTCAGGTGACATATATTGGAATTTTGAACCAAACCCTTTATTTAGTCCACTGCAGTAGATTATTCTCATTCCACACCTTTTCTGGGTATCTCAGCTTCAGTTATTTCCCTTTTGTAACTCAACTCCCCAAGTTTTTATTCACTTCTGCTGTGGCCAGGTATTGAACTCACAACTTTAATTTGAAAAATTTAAGTGGTGTAAATAGTTACAATATTTCATCTCAGGAATATAGACAGATGTTTAAGTGGACACTTGTCTGAATAAACCTGCTCCCACAACAATTTTAGACAATTCTACTAAAAGACATCCATAAAAATTTTGACTATTTCTCTGGATTTCTTCTTCATTTCAGAATTGAATATTAAGAAAGAAATATTTCCTCTGTTGTATATGAATTTTCTTTAGAATAACTTAAAGCAGATTTTAGTCTCTTTCAGAAAAAAGATTTACTAGCTGTCCAGACTTTTAACTAAAAGAGTAATTTTACTTTTAAGAAACCCACTTACCAATTGCAAAAAAATTTGGATGAGGTCTGCTTGGAATGAATATTTGTGTAGGAATTTCCCAATGATCTCTTGCAGTGTATTTAGGTTCTGCTCCATTGTTGGAACTAAATCAATAGATCAAAATCAAAAGTTTAAATATTTTTTAATTAGCAAAATAAACCAGAATTTCCAGATCTTTCTAATTCATTTCTGAGAAATAAGCTCTTTCCAAATTAACAACACATATATTTTCTGTTATTCACAAAGTTCTAATATTCACCTATTTGTTATAAGACTAAGAATAAGACTCTTGTTGAAAGTTTTTAGATAAAGTTACTAAAATCATTTTGAAAATGTTAAAAATTGTAAAACTGCTACACATGACTTTTGCCACTTATATGCCAAAAGTAATGGGCAGCAGTATATAAAAATAATGGTTGGTGGCACCACCATACCTTGTTCAATTATGCACTGACAGAGAAGAATGAAAGAAACTAGTTAATAGTGCACTTGAAATAGAAGAGAAATAAGAATATGGTCAACTAAAAGTAAATCTTTTAATTTTCATTCTGAACTGATGTGGCTGAACGTTTTTAATTAATTTCTTGTGTCCAGCAATTTAAAAAGAAAATAGAAAAGCAAAACTAACAAGGCAAGATCAAAGATCATGTGTTAGGAATAGGAATACAACCATATCTTTCCATTCTTGGTTTCCTGAAAGTCTTCAAGAGTCTATGTAAAGTGGGGTTAAGGGTTGCAACTTTTCAATTGCCCTAAGTTGTATCCTTATAAAAGACTTCATTGAAAGCTTGCTAGTTTAAATGCTAGCAATATGGCTGACCTACCATTTACCAGTCTCTGGCATATGAAATTCAAAAATAATGTCAAAGGGGGAAAATAAATAATGGCTGCTTAAAATTGTGTGTCATTAAATCAAAGACAAACTCATATCCAAGCAGAATATTCAAAGACACAAAGAAAGAATAGTAGCTCAAATTCTACAATGTCAGAAAGTCTTGGACAAGTCTCAGGTCAAGTGAACTGCAATTCATGTCAAACAAAATCATAGTAATATTCTTGCTGTCTCATATACCAGTTAAAGTTATGGGTCAAGTTATAACTTTAATCAAAACTACATACAGTATATACTCAAAAATACACTTTCACCAAAATTTCGATAAAAATCAGGAGTGTGACTTATTCACTTGACATCATAGAGAATCTGAAGTAGACTGGCATATCATTTGTCCAGTTGAGTGCCTTGGGCTTAAGCATAAGTGAGACCAAGGGAGAAAATTATTTTTTCCCTGACATTTCAATTTTACACAATCATCTCTTCCAACAGTAACACATTACACATCGAATAAAAGCGTTCAATTTGTATTGCTCATATTAACATTTATTATCTGATTTACAATGGAAAACAATTATTTTCAAGGGATTTTAGAGCTGAAGCAATTACCAGTACCCAATTTTTTGTCTAAACAGAGCAGCCTTGCACTCGATAAGTAAATAACACAAAATTATACCCAATCACTTTTCTTGTGTTCTAATATATGTAAGCAAAGTTTTGAAATGAAGGTGAATAACTGAAAATATTTTATAAATATTAGTTATATTTATGTTAAAAAAGAGCCATGATTATAGTGTGACTTATCTGTAAGTCAATTGCAAATACTAACTTTGACAACCCCAAACTAAAGGCGCAACTTATCTACTGGTGTGACATATCTGTGAGTATATACGGTATGCAAATAAATTTTTAATTATGGGGCAAAACAGGGCAAACAATAAAACTAATCAATTTGCACCCAAAACCAAATTGACTGACCCTGCCTCATATTTAAATTAATTCTTACACTTTACTTTGCATTTATTTCAGAGATGATAAAACTTAATTATTTCAGGTATGAAATACACAGGGTAAAATGAAGATACTGCTGAGCAATAAATGATAACGAAATATAAAGATATTGTCTACTATTGAATTAAAAAAAGAAAGTGAGAGATTTACCTTCAGAAATAATATTCCCTGGTGTTAATAGGTTTTTACCTGAAGAACTTTGAAGATTTTCAGCAGAATTGATCAGCTGGTGCATCATTGTTTGACATATTTGCTTCAGATTAATATAGCAGTCCTTCCCAAGAAGCACAAATGGTGACCAGTAGCTGATATCTTTAAATCTTGAGAATTTCCAGAGGAAAAAAAATAAATGTTTAAATGTGAAAAGATCCTTAAAAAAATTTGGTAACATTTTCTTTAAAATAGAAATGCATTCCCAGGGGATTTTTTTTTTAACAAATAAAAGGATTACGAATGTTATGGCTTAAGTTCTCATCTTGGTATCTATAATGAGAACTATTTTCACTTGTCTTAGTAAGTTTGATTGAATTGGAAGCTGGTCCTACAAATGACTTTAAAGACTCCAAAACAAAACTGCTTGTGATTAATCATCTGAGAGACTCCTTTCTAGCTTCCATCAGCATGGCTGATGCTAACCTTCAGAGTTGACATGAAGTGGAAAGATTATATTGAATCAATTGCTAGGGCTGCTGCTAAGGAAGTTGGTTCAATGCAATCATGTTAGACAATTTTTCTTTCCAGAATCTATCTTAAATATTTATTTGTCCATGCTTCAAATATTACTGCCACATATGGTTTGATTCTCCTTATTTAGAGATTGTTGATAAAATCCAAAGAAGAATCTGCAATGTTATTGATCCTGATCTGGCATCTCAGCTTCAGTCACTTTCCCATTGCTTCCCTGTGCTTTTTCTATAAATACTTTCATGGTAATTGTTCTGATGAACTTTCCTCTATGGTACCTGGACTTTATGAATTTAAGTGCAATACTAGATTGGCAACAAGGTTGCATCATTTTACAGTTGAAATGGCTAGATGCAACCCCTAAGTTCTATGCTAACAGTTTCTTTTCTCACACTTCTCACTTGTGGAACACTCATTAGGCTTTTTGCTTTCCAGTAAACTTTGATCTTCAAAAATTTAAATGTAATATCAATCGTTATCTGTCTTCTTGATTATTCTTCTTCCTTAATGCTTCTGTTTTTTCTTATTCTTTCACACTCAGTAACCCCTTGTGTCTTAGTAGCTTTATTGCCTTGCTTAGGGTGAAGTGATAAAAAAACAATAAAAATATTGTAAGTGATTCTATTATTATAGAAATACATTGCCAACCACAGTAGAGCCTTCTAATTTATGGTAAATCAGTTCCTGAGGCATAATCCAAAGATAAAAACTACCAAAAGTTATATCAAAATGTTTTCACCAGAAAATACTATTTTAAAATGTTAATACTTTGACAACATATTGCCATCAATTGGAACAGGTTTTCTGCCTTGACAGTCTACTTGTATATTAAGGGGGGGAGAAAATTTCAAATTAACATTCATTTTATTGATATGGACATTGATGATTTTGAAAACATTTAAACTACTTCATGCTGTTATATTTTCAAAATACTACTATTAATAATAATAATAATTTATATTATAAAAGAGCTGATTCTCTGTTCATCACACATTATTGGCAAGTAACTTTGCATGTGTGTATATAAGGGTGCGAGGGGTAAATTGTCGCTATTTTATATTTTTAATTTCACACATGTGCATTGTTTGTTTTTTTATTTTATCAACTGCACAGTATAGTAGGGTTAGTTAGGCACTGTCTGTGAGAAAAAGAGCACCATGATGCAATTCACTCTGCCAGAAATTTGGAAATGGCATGCTCTACTGCTTCACATTTGCACTGAAGCACTAGTATGAACATTTCAGAGTGTTTGGGTGTCAATCTGAGAATAGTGCAGAGGATTCGGAAAGAGTTGGATTATATATCCAGTCAACATCATGGTGTTTGAAGTGATAACTAGTGATGCCAATGTTATACCTCCGTTCATCTTCCCACCAGGCCTCAGACTCAACACAGAGACTTACATCAAGTGCCTTGAGGAGGTAGTGTTGCCCTGGGTCAAGAGGGTGGCTGCTGGAAGACCCTATGTCTGGCAACAGGACTCTACACCATGCACATCACCCCTTACATCTGGCCACCTAACTCTCCAGACTGTGACCCCCCCCCTTGATTATCATGTGTGAGACACAGTTGAGCGAGAGACCAACAAAACTCCTTGTAATACCAAAGATGAACTGAAAGCAAGGATTATAGCAGCATTCACCAAGTTAAACAAGGAGACCATCCAGAAGAGTTGCAGAAGATTCTGAAGTCATCTGGAGGCTGTGGGTGAAGCCAATGGTGATTTTATTGAATAAATTTACTCTTTAGTTTTTTTAATATATTTTTGTGTAATTTTGGTAAATATATCTATTAAAATGAGATGCCTGTGCTATTTTCATTTTTGTGTCATTTAGACGACAATTTATCCATCGCACCCTGTATGTGCATATGCACTGTGTGTGTGAGTGACTTACATGTGTTTATGCCATTTAATGCACACACACACACACACAATTTGATCTAGTTTTAAATAAGATATTAAAATAATACATTCCCCCACTCACTGCATCTGTACAATCCCTACTCTGAGCTGAACAATAAAATCAAAACTATAGATGAGGAAAAACAAATGTTAATATTTTAAACCATAAAATATCAGATGATTATAAGATCTTATTGAACTTTTTGGAAATTATTTGGTAATAAATAGAAATATTCCTCAAAGAATTTTTTAAAAAAATTGTAGAAATATTTTTAGGTTTCTCATTGAATTAAATTGTGCACACACACACACATACAATTTGAATGAAAGTGAAATGGACATCTGTGTCCCAAGGCTAAATTTGTCTTTCTGTGTAGCTGAAATGTGCACTCTTTGAAATCATTTTTATGAAAGAGAGAGAGAGAAGAAGAGGGAGAGAAAGAGAGAGAATGTGAGAGAGAAAGAAAATTTAACAAATTTTTCAAAACTAAGAAAATATATTCTGATATCATCATTCTGCATTTTTGTCTACAAATGAATTTAAAATATTTATTAGTTTAATCCAGGTATCATTTTTATATACTATTGCATATTATGTGACATTTGAAAACCTAATTTTGAAGCTAATTTTAAGGGGATCACACCATACATGAGATATGAAATTAGTGTATATACTGCTTCAACTGGCTACACATTTAACCAAACTATATATCCATTTACTGTAGTCAAATTAGTTCAAAATTAAGTCTTCAAAAGTCACATGATACGTGAGTATATAAGGTATTTGTCATATATGAAATTGATATTTTGTTAAGTTATTATTTTCACAAGTTTTTCCCATGAGAACTTTTTCATATATTTTTCCGATTTTTTTTTCTTTTTAATTAATTCACTTCAAGCAAGGTAATAATGCCACTAAGACACCAAGGTCCACTGGGAATAAAAGAGAATGAGAAGACTTTAGCAGTAACTGTAAGTCCAATCCTAAGAAAGGATAAACTTCTACTCCTGTTCAAAAGTGAGACATGCAAATCAGACAATATATAAACCTATGTACACCTTTTGCTTTTGCATTTCTCCTAGCTTCTCAACAATATCCAAATTCTTCCATTATCATAAAGATACTGCCACCTGGTGTTACTGGTGAAAGGGAGATAACTCTAGTACATCAAATGTTACAGATAACAAATGTATAAATATACTTGGCATATAGAGATTCATTTAGGATAAGATTTTCATTTTTGTAAATGAATTATTTTCAAAGAATTTCATAAATTTAAGTATCACATTTACCATTGACCCACTTTGGATATATTTGAGTTATTTTTTAAAATGTTACTAAAAATCACACACCGATCTTTGGATGCAATGTATTTCTGAGCTTTCCATAATGCTTCTGATATCCAGTTACCATTTTGTAAAGCTGAATAAAAGTGTTTGAAGAAATTCTTTCTCACAACATCTGGAACTGGTTTCAGGCAAACAACAACACTGTGAGTGCCTGAAAAGAGAATTTTAAAAAATTCTGGTTCACATAAAAACAAAGTGCATCTTGGGTGCCAAATATGAAGAATGATAGAGAACTGATTTGGAAAACTTTGGAAGATGATTTTGATTTAGACAGATATTTTGATTGATATGTCAAACACTTCTAACAAGTGCCATGTCCTTTCAGGAGAGACAATTATGGCTCTAGGGAATGACAAGAAGATCAACTAAGTTCCTTCATGCTTGCAAAAAATGGTGTGTCAAAAAGATGGTTATTCCTTTAAAATCATTATTACTGTATAACCCTTTTGACTCCCTTGTCTTGTCAAAGAGACAAACTTTCTTCTTATGACTCATGTATAAAAATTACCATAACACAGTAAAATGTTCAATAGTACAAATAATTTATATAATAATGGTTTATACTACCAGGCAGGCCTAAAGTTACTAAATGGTGTAAAATTTTAATAAACTTTTAGTATTAATTTTTTTGCCTTTTACAAGATGATTTTTCACAACTAGCACGTATATTTATTCCTATATAAGCTGAATATGATATTATGACATTGCAAATTTAACACAAAAAATAAATTAAATATTGAAACCTCTTTGTGACTTTTGGCCCACCCTGTATAATGGTTCATTGAGTAATTAGTGTAACAGTTCATAGTATAGTGCTTGATAGTACAATTAGTTCGTACTATATTGTTTCATAGCATAATATTTCATTCTATAACAGTTGATAGTGTAATGTTTCAAAATACAATCAGTTCATAGTACTAAGAGAATCTCTTTTTACTGATTAAATGTCTTCAAGTTGAGTTCTGGGGATAATGTCCCCCAATTTGTCAGGTCAGCCGAAATCTTTGATGTAGTCAGATGACCTGACAAATTGGGATTGGTTCATCCAGGCATTCATTAGTTAGTGCCAAAGGAATGAAACAAATTACCTGGCCAAAGTCAGTTGTAGAAATCTGGTTCACAGTTGACTGTTTCATGGAACATGTAACTATACCAGAAAAACCCAGCAACTACCGACTGAAATTACTTTGAATTAATTTTAATTCCTTGCTGGTAAGCCTTTTTTTTTGCCTTTTAGCCTTCTGACTAAAACACTAAATTAAAATAAAATTTCTTTTTGTTTACTATAAAGAAACTTAGTTAATCTTCTTGTCATTCCATTTTGTTTCTTTATTTTGTTTCTTTTGGCACATAACATGTTTAGTTCTGAGTTTATTGATTCATATTAGAAGGAGTCATAATACAATTAGTTTATAAGACAATGGCTCTCAGTATATAGATTAATATCTTTCTGGCTACATAATGAAAAAAAGCCTTTATTTTAGACAACAAATACTAATTTTTCAACATAATCTCCTTTTTAATGTACTTAACACAATAACGAATATGTAGATACATCAATAGCCTAATGACAAAAAATATTTATTTTTCAATATAGTTTCTTTTGTCAAATTTTATTATGCAAATCATTTTCTTGCAATAAAATTAGCATCAATGAACCAATGTCAATAGAATTGTCAGTATATGCTTATATTTATATGAGAAATATATTGTGCATGTTTCAGTTTATATGTCTATAAATATTTTCTTGGCATCTGCTCTGATGAGCTATTTTCACTGGTGCCCTGACTGCATGAATTTAAGCATGCTATTAGATTGGTATCTCAGTCCCATCCTTTAACTGTTGAAACAGTTAATGTAACTGCCTCTTCTACTCCAACAGCTTCTTCTCTCATACTTCCCGACAGTGGAACACTCTTCCTCTTACTTGCTTCCCTGATAACTATAATCTTCAAATATTTAAATGTAATGTCAATCAACATCTTCTGATACCTTGATCCTTCATTCTTCTTTTTATCCATTCCTCAATCCCCCCCTTATACCTAATCTTTTCCGTTACTTTCACTGTGTATCCATTTGCATACTAGTGGCACTCCTGCTTTGCTTGGGATGAAATGCTTATAAAAAAACATATGATCTATACTTATTGTAATATAATAACAACTCTAAGTAGAAGCTTATGAATCTTTATTTGACTTATTCTGCTTTAGTACTGAAAATATTTATTTTATTATAGTGTAGTGTGAGAGAGAATATTTCCCTACAAGTTTGTACTCAACTGTTGGACGAAAGGCATACTCCTAGATCAGGAGAAATGGCAGGAGCAGCAATAGCAGCTTTTGCTAAAAACAGTCATTCATAGCTAAAAATTCTCTTCCCTAGTTTCTATTCTACATTATGTGTCCCTGTACCAAAAGGTAATAAGACTTGTTGTTAAAACCATAACAGAGTTATCAAAAAGAACAGTAGAAAACCAGACTAAAAAAGCTACTGCTGCTACTACTCCTCTCAATATAGGAATATTTTTATGTCTTTCATTCGATAACTGAGTCCAAACTTGTAGGTAAATATTTTCCCTCACAACATAGTGGATGGTTACAAGTGAGAGGAGAGATGGGATGTGCTTATTTTAGTACTACACTTATTAAACAAATATTGATAATAACCAGTTTTAGGAGTGTCAATTTTATTATACAAACTCAGAAGTGCAACATCAATTCTTCTAAAAGCAAGATATAAACCAGATATTAACACAGCATCCCATATACCTGAATAAATTATTTTATTAGTTTACATATTAAGATGGACTCTTTGATATTATATAACTTTCATCAGTCTTTCAATCATTGATTTTGTTAACTTTTCTACTGTTTCAAATTTAACATTACTTGCAGCAATTTGTATTTCTCCCCAGATATCTACATTGCTTGAATATTGTTTTTCATCTTATAAACTAGATCTATATAAGGCAGGCAGCAAAGCCTCTGATCAGGTTTTGAGGAGTGTGGAATCACATCCAAATTGCTTCTGTTCACAGATCCACCCTAACCCGGTGTGGTAGCACCTGTTAGTGTTTCATCTATGTAGTTAACCCCCAAATTGGGGTCAAAACACTATGAAAGTATAAAAACATATTTTTATAGTAAAAATATCAGCAATTTCATAGTAAAAAAAATTACCAGTAATACAGTTTTGTAAAAAATAAATAAATATTACCAGCAATACATTTTTGTAGAAGAAATTACTAATGCTTCCAAGAATATTAAATTCTAGCATTAAATGACCCATAAGGAGTTGATATGTCACTAAACAAACAAACAAGCAAAATTGTTTCCTATTCTCACCTTTTAATGAGTTTTTTTTTTATTGAATTAATATTTAGAGAGGCTGGTAACCATTACATAAACTTGAATAACAAAAAACCACTCCACTACTTTTCTCAAGAACAATCATGGCAATTCATAATTTACATATTAAAGGAAAAAAAAAGAATATTGTGGACACATGACTGCCTGCATCCTGAAGGAATATTATTTAAAATCTTAATATAATGCAAAATCATTTTCCAAATCCTTTACAAGGATCCAAATAGACTATCTGCACCTTTTTCCCTTACATTTATTCAATCTTAATAAAAAATTCACACATTTTTTATGAACACTAATATAAATCTTTAAAAAAATAAAGAAAACAATTACAGTTAGAGCAAAATCTGACATTAAAATCTTACCTGCCTTTAAAAATGCATTTGCAAGATAATGAGGCAAATGTATATCATCTAGTCCTCTCCACACACACTCTTGGCCACAGCTTAGGACCACTAATTTTGCATGTAGGGAAAGCAAGGAAATTTCTTGACATGTGACTAAATAAGAAAGCTCATCACACATTGTATTACCATCAGGGTGCACAGGGACACTTGAGGGACTCCAAGCAAGAAGACCCTCCTGAAAATTTGCCCAGGTTGCTGCAATAGAACAAATATGTAAACTGTTTACATTTGGATTTTAATTTTTCACACAATGACGCCTATAATGTAGGTGATGTAGTTCTATCAACTCCTTAAAAAGAACTGGCTAAAATTTGGGAGAAAACTGCAACTTTTTGATTAGCAGACCTGTTTTTTTATTATTGTGAGATTTAATATAAAATGCATTATTTTGTTTCTTGTTAGCTGCTTTTTTAAACAGTAATATTTCTAATTTATATTTTAAGACATTATTTGTCAATTATTTAGTAAAAGTTTAATTTCACTCCATTTTAAAATCAAATATGGAAAGCCTTTCAGTTCTTGATTTCTGGCAAATTATACTTGTATGAATTCAAACTAAGTTATAGCAGAATGGAAGTTGTGAGAAATATAAATTCTTCATCTGAAAACAAGGCTGTTTGTGAATGAAAAGATTCGGCTTCAAAAACTTTGTATAAGATCATTTTTCAGAGGATTACTTGGTACTGATGTTTTTTGATGACTGATATTGGGCAATCAAAAATTTGACCCTAAGCAAGTTTTGCACCCTTACTACACACATTACTATTTTGCATATGGATGCTTGTACATTGAGGGCCTATAATAAATATTCTTTGTACCTATGTGAACAACTGAGGCAGCTGGAAGTAATTCAAGGAATTTCTTTTTTGTTGCTTCTTTTCCATTAATGGAAAATATACGAAGAGTTGAGGCAATTTCACATCCTTCTGATTCTGCTACTTGCAAAGTTTTCACCATAGAATTCCATTCTTGACCATAGAGTTCAGACCTACAAAATATAAAAGTTAGCTTAATATGCAATTGAAGTGGTATTTTGATATTGTCAAGGCAAATTGTGGAGTCATTTTCTAAGGTTAAGTGTAATTGGCAAAAATGCTCAACAAAAGGAACTGACAAAGTTTCCAATAAACAATAACAAAAAAAAAGAAAAAGCAGGACAAAATAATACTAAGCAAACAAAATATATAAAAGTCAAAAATAGGCACAGCAACAGTAATAATGCAAAATGTTCACAAAGTAAGAATGTTGTATGTATGGGTGTTGTTCTACGACAAGTGATCAGTAGTCAACTGCTTGCCTGTCTCTTAGTTTACTATACACTTTATATCACTTCTACTTAACATCTACAAATAGAAACAATCCTATTTACCAATCTACTACAAATGGTTTTAACATGCAAAAGGGATACAGTCATGTGATTATAGCATTCTGAATCCAAGACAAGAATAAAAATATGGTGAAGGGAGAAATCCCAGCATGCATCTGTATGATTTGTCTATAAATTTGGGGAGGGGGTGCTTTTAGCTTCCATTCCTTTGGATTGGAAACAATACAAAATTCTTTTGATAAGTCATGGAACCTTAATATGTCAAAACAATCAAGTGCAGACCTCAAGTGTTACTTAGTTTACAAAATATCTTGATTTGAAAAACATTTTGTTCAATATTAAGATTTATTTTTAAGTAAGACAATATATTTTCAACCATCTATACAAATTGTTTTGACTTGATAAAATGTTCACAGTGTGGAATGTCAGAAAAATATGAAACATGAGCCATCTACAGAGTGTTTATATGGACATTTAAACAAAGATATTTATTATCAAAGATGATATTCTGTTATGTTAACATAGAAGATTGCTATGCGATGATAATGTTTAAACAAATGCAAATTGAAGCTTTATACCAACAAATACTTCTATTGGAACAAGACAACCCTATTACTACACAGAATTATTTAAAGCTGAATCTATTAAACACTGTTATCATAAAAATCCTAATAAAATCTCCTTCAATAAAAGCAGCCACACAGCTAAAAAAGGACAACATTATTGTTATCCAATGAGCTGATAACACTAATACTTTCATTATTTTAAACAAAAAATTAAATTATTCAAAATTTCAGGACATTTTGGATGATAATAATAAATTTAAAAAGTTAACCAATAACATCAACTTCCAACATAAAAACCATATAAATAAGCTTATTACTGCTAACAATGCTGAAACAGGATCTTATAAACTTCAAAAGATTATAGGTGACTATCAACCTGGCTACCTTTATGGAAATCCATAAAAATGATCATCCCCTCTGACCTATCATTTCACAAATGCCTACACAGTATATTACCTTTCAAAAACCCTTAACAAATGAATCACTCCCTACTTCCCAAATAAATATTGTACTAACTCCACAAATGAATTTATATAAATTCTTCATTCTGTAAAACCAAACAACCAAATAATTGCAGCTGTGGATGTACAAAATTTATTTACTAATGTCCCTGTCCATGAAATGATTGACATCATTATCCATGATGTATACAATCACACTTCTCTCCCATACATCAATATTAAATCCACTATTTTAAAAAAATTATTATTAGCATGTATCACTCAAGTACCTTTTCATGACCACCTAGGTAATATTTACACTCAAATAGATGGTATTGTGATGGGATCTCCTTTAGGTCCCATTTTTTCTAATTACTATATGATACATTTAAAAAATAAAATACTTAATGACACTAATAAACCCTCTATATATGTAAGACACATAGCTGACATTTTCATTTTAGCTAAAAATATTGATCAAATTACACAACTTAAAAACAAATTTGAAAGTTGCTCCATTCTCAAATTTACACTAGAACTCAACATTAATAATAAAATTCCATTCCTTGATGTACTTATTGATTCCAGCACACATAAATTTATTACTTCTCTATATAGGCAACCCATTAGCATTAACTCATGTCTTCTTAATTATAATAGTGAACGCCCCAATGATATAAGTTAGCCATTATAAAAAACTTAATCCAACGCACACAAATGATATCTTCTTTCAAAACCATATTCTATAAAGAATTACATAACATTAAATAAACACTTGTTAATAATGGATTCCCTAATTCTATGATTGATCAACAAATTAAAATGTATTTCATTAAATAATACCTCTAACAAAATTTATATTAATAATAATTGTAACCATAATAATGTACATCAAAATAAGTATAATAGCATTATACTATTGTAACCAAACGCATAATAATTAGAAACATGATGAAACAACACTCAAAAACATAATAGGTAGAAATGTTAAACCCATTAATAATAATAATAAACAAGTTAAGCTCATCATATAAGAAATTTAAAACAATTGACCTCATAGTCTCTAATAACCTTACAACTACACAACTAAATCCTCTACAAAAAACCAATGTAGTGTATCAATTTACATGCCCGTCCTGAGATTGTATCTCTGATACTAATAATAAACCCACTACATATATTGGTTTTACTACAACTACACTCTCCTGTAGACTCACCTGTTACCTTTCTGATCTTAGTTCTATTAAGCAACATTTCTTAGAAAAACATAACCATGTATAAAATATTAGACAGATATTAGTTGATAATACAACAAGACAGTAACACAGTAAAAAGAACCTTCAGATATTGGAAGCCATCTACATTAAAACAAATCAACCCACACTCAACAATATCACATTTCAAACTAGTTACACTGCATCTAAACATATGGTTCTGTTGTTAATATTTTGGTCTCTCACATGGTATGACGTTATAGAAGTGCATCATGAATTTATAACCTGTGTCTGCTATTCTGCAACTGTTATCATTGCATCTTCTATGTCAACATAACAAAATATCATCTTTCATGGTGAATAACTTTGTTTAAATGTCTGTATAACCACTCTGAAGTTGGTTCATGTGAGCTGAAAGCATAATAAAAGCATAAAAGGAACAGCATAATAAAAAATATCCAAATGTTGGACAGCTTTTGTCTTTATTTTCTCCAGAAATTGAAGCAACTATACAAAGTTTAGAATGGCTCATTCGTTATCTGTTATATTTAGAAATATATATTTGAATAATCATCTGCTGCCCTAATACATTATATATATATATATATATATATATATATATATATATATATATATTATCCCTCACCAATAACATGACTTGGTGTTTCATGCACAATGCAATCTTCAGGTATAGACTGGCCATTAAATAATTTAAATTTTAAAATGGATCTGGTTATAACAATGTTGCCTTAATTATATATTATATTGGGATTATAGTTTTTAATTTTAAAAATTATATTTAGCATCAAAATAAATGGAATATATATATATATATATATATATATATATATATATATATATATATATATATAGATAAACCTCTCGTCTATGGACCCATGTCAGCTGACTTCAGATGCAACCGACAAAATCTGCAGGTAAAATAAAAAAATTATCAGAAGGAAAAACTTCCAAATCATCAGTAGAATTAGCAGAATTAGTCATGTTAGTTCTCAAAGTGACCACTTGGTGGCAGTGGTGGTGGGCTTTTCAATTGTAAACAAACATGGGTGTACAGTATATAAAGTATGATACATTAGTGCATGCTCATGCATGCACTAATGTATCATACTTTATATACTTTGTAAGTAGCTGTGAGAAATTTATAATTTTTGTTATTTTGATTCAGTCAGTTATGTGCCATGCATGATACATGCTTAGGTGATCATGTATCTTTTGATACATGACTGATGAGGCAGATTTTTCCTGCAGTAAGTTGCCATTTCTTTCTGCATTATACCAGTTGTCATCCAAGGCTATAGAACCCGGTCTGTCCTGCTATTTGCCCACAGCTGGGAGGAGTGGGGAGAAGATGAGGATTCATACTTTCCCAAGGGTATTAGCATGTAAGTGAATGTAATGGATTCGACTGGAATTTGAACTATTTTTTTATGCCATATATACATGTTTATAGTATTTACATTATGATCATAACTTGGGGTAGCTACTATAGTGGTTTCATCTCAGAAATAATCCCTTCCCATCTATGGAAAACTGGACAATCACCTTTAATGGATCACCCCATCCTCCTATTAGTATATTGATGAGAGGTTTGTCTGTGTGTATGTGTGTGTGTGTGTGTGTGTGTGTGTAAAAAAATTTTATTTTAGAGTAGTGATTAATTTTTTTATTATTAAAAGGAGATTCCTTGTTCTTTTTATAAAAAAACAAAAAATGTAATTTATCTTAAAAAACTAATTTATATTAAACATTAATCTGGATTAATGTATTTAAGTAGATATTTATTTTTATGCCTACATGAAACCATAAATTCATTTCTCTTGTTTAATAAGCTAGGGTTATTTAAGTATCTTAAGATAACCAATTTTTCAATAAGACATAAGTTACAACTATTTCCTTTCCTGTTATAAGATTTGGCTCTTGCTGTAATATCCCAGTTGATAAAAGGTGAGTTGCCATCATTCTTTAATTGCCAGAAATATTTAGAGAAAGCAGTGCTGCTTTTGTATTTTATATTACCTAAAGTCATTCGATGATGGTAGAAACAAAACAAAATTTCCAAGGATTTTCAGTGAAACCAAAATAAAATTTTAACATCATTACTAGAATGATGCCTCACTTGGTACACAGTATTATAAGTCATACATTGACTGTTTAAGAGACAGATCATATTTTCTTTTTGGCAGTTGCATTTGTTTTTTTACAAAAATATACATTGTCTTTGTTGGAAATATAATTGTTTAATATATATATATATATAAATATAAATTGTGTATTTGGACAGCAAATCCCTCTTTTATACAAGTTTCATTAAACAATTTCTACATAATTTATGTCCAGAAAAGAAGAAAATTATAAGAACACAAGAAAAATTAAATAAAAAATATTAATTGCAGCAGTTGTTTTTAATGAAACTTCTTTTTATGTGTGTGTGTGTGTATGTATGTATATATATATATATATATATATATAGAGAGAGAGAGAGAGAGAGAGAGAATTAATACAAATATAAAGTTTGTCATTTAGCTGATTAGTGTTACCTTCAGCATCTCAACTAAAGTTTCATAGACGGATCCTCCAGCAATCACTCTGTACAATCATCAAGGGAATCTGCCCTTCAGCATCCCAACTCTCTCTATCTCTCAGATGTGCCAAGACTTTTATATGAGTTCTTGAAACTTCAACTTTCACCTTATCCTTCTGTATTATTATATTGTGAAATATAAAGATTTATTTTGTATTCATCAACACTCTCTGTGCATTTTCTTTAATCATTATAAAAGACCAGTATGCACCCAAACCTAATACATCGATATATGATGGGGACATGCATTGTTAGAAGGTAACCTATAAATGATAACCTCCATTGGAGGATGAGAAAACAAAATGGATGATATTTAGTGCTTGGTTGGTGTTAGCACTTAACAAGTTTTGTAATCTGGCATGGGAACCAGAGATAGTAACATTCATGACATATAAAGAGGATTTTATTCTTTATTGTCTTTCAACCAAATCTCTGCTTTGAAGAAGCCATGAAGGAGGAGTGTCCATGTGGATCTATATGCATAAATTCTGACTGAATTTTTGAAGTTCTCATTTGCTACATATATTGTCAATCTCCCATGGTTAAAATGTTCATGCTGACACCATTATTAAGTAGAAATTTAGCTGGAATGCAATTTATGTAGACTGTCACTATTAGAACTTTTATTGTGGGTAACAGTGTGTCTTGGACCAAAAAGACAAACTCATCACTAGAAGGATAAGTCACTCCTGCTCCCTCTCAGAGAAAGGTTTGAAGAAATTTGTCTTACCTTCTTATTTTGTCTAACAAACCAACAAACATTCACAAAATGATTCAGCTTGTGGCAGTTGTTATATTTTTTACCTTTAATGAGACAAGAAGTATCAGTCTGTGGACCCCCACAAACTTGGCAGGCTGTATTATTGTGATACTTCTTAGAGTCACACTGAAGTGAGTAGCAATGTTGGTGTTGGTCACTCCTTTTTCTTTCTCTTTGTTGACCGCTTCTGTCTTGGGAATACATGGCACTTGCCTGGTTTTCCTTTTTTATTTTTGCGACTCTGGCTTCTATGATTTCCATGGCCCTTGCTTTGTCTAGAAGCTGTTTTCAAGTGCAGTTTTCTTGCACAAATTTCCTTCTAACCCTAGAAGGACAACAGCCTTGAATGATCCATGCAAGAATTTTGCTTTCAGCAGTGTGAAACTTGTAATTCACAGCTTGTGTTCATAGTCTGGTTTAGTATACATCTATCCTCTCTTTTGGGTTTTGCAGAGTCTGTTGAAATTTGAATATTTCATAGGAAATAATTTGGAGGAGAATCAAATATTCTGTGAGGGAGTGTCTTATTCTCTATTCTGCTAGAAATTCCATCCAGTTTATGAATTATTTGGTGCTTATTCCTTTTTCCTTGTCTGTAAATCTGCAGTAAATATCAAATGTCATCCCCAGGAACATTGATTTTTTTCTTATGATTCTTTTCTATATCTATTGCATATAATGGCTTCTCAAATTTTCCACCAATTTCTGCCACCTTCTGCCTGTCAGTCATTGTACACTACGAATGGTGGTAATGTAAAGAGGTTTGCCATTCAGTTAAAAACTAGTCCTTTAAACTATTTACATTTTTTGGGCTGTTGTCCACATCTCTATTGTCTTATTCACAATGCTTCAACCATTCAAGTGAAGGCTTTATTTCATCCACCAGGGTGAATTGTTCTAGTTCTATGTGCCTTTTCTCAGTTTCAGTTTTTTCCCTTCTAGTAACCCAACTCTCCAAGTTTTTTGTTTACATCTGCTGTGGCCAGGTATTGAACTCACAAATCTTTGAGTCAAGTCACTGAATTACTTTAACCAACACTTTTATCCACTGCCCAAGGGCACATAGTGTTGGATATAAGGTTGTATATGCCTGTAAAGTTTAATCTAATTTGGGTCTGCAGGTTTGGGATTCATAAACTTATAACAGATGCAAAAATTATGGATGCAAATACTACAGTACCATACCCAAATGAAAAAATACACCCTTGCCAAATAACCAAATGAAAATACACCCTAAGACTGAAACCAAATTTTACTTGTTCTGTTTGAATTTAAAAAAATGCTCACTTTTTTTAATGATGTTTTTTTTTTATACGAACAGATAAGCATTTATAATTTACTGCCTTTAATTTTACTATTTACACCTTTTTATAAATCAATGTCTACTTACTTTTCAGGAATTTGAGGATTTGTCATCACCAAAATGCTTTCTTTTTGATCATTGGTCTTCAAAATGGGAATCTTTTCATTTGATGCTGTTGACCCAATCATAGGAAAACAGTTTTTATATCCAACATTAGAATTTATGGAGATAAGAGAAGAATCAGAAATTCCAGGATTTGTTTTTGAGGGATTCACATGTTGTGCTCTCATCATTTTTAAGGCTTTAGGATTGGAAACTTTTTTACTATCAGGAAAAATTAATTTGGAATCTTGTGTAATAGAGACTACTCTTGTAGATGTTTGTGACTTTTCCCCATTGACAGAATGCAATTCTGTGTTATTTTTTAAAGATGAATCTGTGCTTTTTGTATTCTTGATAAGTTGAGACAACTGTGCTATTGACTGAATGAAGGCAACAGAGAATCGTTCTCCAAGAAGTGCCCCATGACCATCATGAAGGACAGCAAATGGACAGTATTGAAGTATATCATTAGCTACAAAAACAAGATGGCTTCTGTCTGGAAGTTTGGATAAAATACGCTCAAAAGGATGAAGGAGGAGATTGTATAAAGATGTCAAACTTGAAAATTTAGAACTATTTTTTTCTTCAAAATTTTCAGTCTTATTTTTTTCATGTCCACCAATGTTGACTTGCTTTGAATCTCTTTTAGGCACAGCATTCTTTAGGTTTTCTTCAGGTCTTTGAGGCAGTGCTCGACCTTCATAAAATAAAATGGGACATGTCTTGTCATATATCTGAAGAACATTCACCAAATTTTCTTTGATCTGAAATTTTAAAAAATTAATCTAATATCAGAATATGAAAATAAAAAAATAAAAAAATGTATGATGATAGAATGGTTATTAATATAGAAAATGAAACTGAGAGACAATTGCATTTAATTTAAATTGATGTTTTTAGATAACTCATGAATCCATGTCTTTTCTCTCCAGCTGTGAGTAAAATAGTTGACAAGTCCAATCTTTATAGCCTTGATAGCACATTCCCTGCCAAGCATGGCAGAAGACTCAATATTCTTCCATTTTCAACATAATTGAGGAATCTCCTTTATATATATATATATATATATATATATATATATATACAGGTAACAATCCATGGGTAAGTAATCCAAGTGAGTCCTAGTAATATAAAATATATTAAAACTGATCTACAAAGAGAGCTCAATATATTTATTACAGAGCATAAAATAATTAAAATACACATAAATGAAACTCAAATCTGTATTGCCATTTCACTCCAAAAGAAATTAATCTTCCAAGGTTTTTGAAGATAAAATAAAAAGGAAGCTTAAAGACTTTTAAACTTTAAAGAAATAGGAAGGAAGAGGAAGAGAAAGACGACAAAGTAAGAGAAAAAAAATAAAAATTTTATTTTTTTTAAATTTTTAAATTTTTTCCTCTTACTTTGTCACCTTTCTCTTGAAATAAAGTTGAATAAGGTTGGTTAGATTATGCATCTAATCTTGATACATTGGATGCTAAAAGTTTAAAAAGAAGTTTCCCTGTATTATTCATTTCCATTCGCATCAGTTAATGAAATATATTTATACTTTTGTCTTCCTAAAGTGCATTTTAAGTCAGTGAATGTCTCTCCAATAAAATATTTTAGCAGACCAAATTATTCTTGAAGCAGACATTTACAACAATCAAGTCTATCCCTTCAAGTTGAAAAACAAAAAAAAATGCAATACAATTATTTTTCATGATGAAAAATTTATATTAGAAAAGAAGTGTCAATTGATTCCCTGTCCGTCAAATACTGACATTGCATACACCTATGTAATGTATATACATATGCCTCAGTTGTGCACAAGTGACTTACATGTGTTTGTATCATTTAATGTATACAAAAGCATAAATATACATGTATATACACACACAGTTTGACTGAGTTTGAAATAAAACAGTAGAATAATACATTACTTTTTAACTTGTCAAAGTTGGAGATAAAAAAAATTAATTTTTTAAGTTTAAGAAAACAGATAATAATAAGATTTTATTAAACTTTCTGGAAATTGTTCAGTAGTAAATATAATTATTTTTTAAAGAATTTAAAAAAAAATATTGTAGAAATATATTTTGGTCTGTCATTTTTACATAGTTTATTTAATGCAACACCAACTCCAGGGGTCATTTTGGGCCAAATTGGGTAGTTTTAAGATTTGTTTTTATTTTGTGTCTATTTTGCAGACAAATTCTTTTATAAGGCGTTATTAGGGTGGAGATGGTATTTGATTTTAGTTGCATTTTGTCGTCGGGTGTTTCTTCAGTTTCCTTTTTATACTTTGGGGTAAAGTTTCATTACTTTTAAGAATTCTAGAATGGCTTTGGGTTTGACACTCTCAAAGAGAGCCCTAAGGGTGGGTAAATTGTAGAAGTATTTTTGCATAGTTGCCAGTTTTTTGCAGTTAATCAAAAAATGTTTAACAATGAATACTTCTTTGCAGTTTAGGCATTTTGGAGGGTCTTCATTTTTTAGGATGAAGAGGTGGGTTATTATGGGTGTATCCAATTTTGATTCTTGTAAGTGTGACATCATCTTTTCTTGAGTGTTTGGTATTGTGATGATGGACAGCCAGAATGGGTTTTATTTGATATAGCTTGTTGTTTGTGTGTGTGCATTCCATGATTTTTGCCATTAGTTGAGGATGTAAGAGTTACTTATAGCTTTCAAGTCTGTAAAGGGATTTTTAAATTTGATATGTTCATTGAGAAAGATTCCTTGGTTGCTTTAGAAGCCCTGCTATTCCCAGAGATTTCAATAAGATCTGTTACTGAATTAAAATATATATGTGTATATACAAAAATATATGCATACGCACAATTTGAATGAAACTGAAATGGACATCTGTGTATATTCTTTGTCACAACTGCAAGGGATGAAGTACACACAGTTCTTGGTTATGTTCTCCCCATTAGCTCTATAGAGTTTTCTCTATATTATGCAGTTGCTTCTGAATGCTGTATGGACTGCAATTCTTCAGAATCATTTCTAATAAGCCAATATAAAGCTGAAACTAGCCACCACCTAAAATAAGGCTGGAGGAACACTGAAAGGTCATAATGAGGGGAGAGACAATGAAATCAGGTATTGTTTATCATGTACAGAGGGAAAAGTGTAGACATCAACCTCTGTGGAATGAAGTGAATATAGTGACCAAGGAAGTACACTAGAGAGTAAGAAATCTGAAAGACTCAATGCATACGCTAAGCTATGAGGATCGCCTTAGGATACAATATGGGAGTCACTAATAAAGAAAGAGAAAATGACAAGTTTTCAGTAGCAGTAGCAGCTGTAACAAAAGAGAAAAGCTTCAGTGAGTGCAGTCAAGTATGACACGCAGCACTCATCAGCAGGCAGGTTAAGTTTAAGGCTCCAAGTTATCCACAAAGAATTGTCCCAAGGGACAATAGCCTAGTGGATTAAAGCACTGGTTTAGGAAGTTGGTGGCATTGTAATTGTGGGCAGTGTGTACTTGAGTTCAGTGGAAATGAGGCAAGCAATAACTGAGTATTACTAAATAAGAACTAGATATCTCTAGGCAATGGAATGAAAACAAAGTTTCAGTTCAAAATTCCCTGTAGGTTACCTAGATCAACATACACCTGATGAAGGCCAGGAGATACAATGGCTGAAACATGATAAAAATGCCAAGGATGAGGACAATAGTTCGAAAATAAATAATGTAAATAATAATAATGATGATGAGGATGAACTTACATATTGTTGAATTGGTGGGTTGCTTTTCTCTTGAACTATTGTTTCAATAATGCCTTTGCCTGGTTGAAGAATCCATATCACCAAATGATGTCTAAGCAATGAATAATAACAGATTGTTGCTCTTTGTTGGTTAACAATGTTGGTAATTGCTTCTAAAGAAGAACATTCATCTTGAAGACCAAGAGTTTCCATTCGTTGATCACAACATGAGAACAAGAAAGAACCCTCTGGACCAACTCTGTGATAGCAGCTAAGGATTTGCTGTAGAATCTCAGCATATTGAAGGCAATCTTTAGTCTTTTTGCACTTGATCAAAATCATTTGCATTCCTTTGTAAGACTGGAGTAAATCAGACCAAAAATTTGCTGGACATTGTGTACCATTTTGAAGATGGTACTCAATCTGCCCCTGCAGAAAATGGATCACTCTTCTGAAATAAAGTTCTGCAAGTTGCAAAGTTTCTTCTTTATTTGAAGAACAGTAAACATTCGCAGAATGATATTCACAAAGAATTGTAATTGCTTCGTAGTCATAAAGGCGAGAACAACTCAAAGAATTCTCAAGATATTTAAGACCAATATCTGATTTCTCTATCTGTATAAAAGCCTGGTAAAGTCTCAACCAAATTTCACATAATTGATATTGACTGATTTGCTTGGTACATATTTTTTCATAAAGACAAACAGCAGAGATAAAATCTTTTTTTAAAAAGTAAGTATCTGCAAGAAATCTTTCAGCCTTGATAATCTCTTTAGAGCCAATTCTACTTGCAGATTTCATGTGCAAAGAATGGTAGTAAAAGGCACTGTCCCAATTATTTAACTTACCATTTATTCTTCCAAGACAGCCATAAGCCTTTGATATCAAATTTCCATAACCATAGGTTTCTACTTGGCACAAATATTCTTCATAATGCTTAAGCGCTAAAGAATATTTCCCCAAAGATTCACAGATATCACCAAGAAGACAAAACAATTCAGATTTTATTCTTTCAGGAGTTTCATCTGCCTGAACAAGGTAAACATATTCTTGAGTATAGCTGTATGCACGGTTTAGATTTCCAACAGTTTTATATGTGATTCTCAGGTTTAACCTTAGGTAACGTTTAAAATCAGCTGACCACAAAAGGAGCATTTCCTCATTTTTGATATTTCCGTTTTCAGTAAGATTTTTCTCAATTTCAATTAGTTTTTCAAAATAGAAAATAGTCTGATAAATGTCACCATTTTTTAAGTGCATTTTTGCCAAACTAACCAATGTTTTGGTTAGAATTTTCAAATTGTTTGTCTCTGATGCTATTTGCTGACATTCCTCATATAATTGTAGTGCTTTATTTTTTTTTCCAAGTCCCAATGTTGCAGTGGCCATCACAAATAAAGTTTTGGCTTTAATATCATTATGATAGTCAAGAAACCTCATCAGACTATTGAGTAATTCAATACAAATTGTATAGTTCTGGTAATTAAACAACAACACAGCCACTTGGTGGGTTTGTTCCAGAAGATCTGTTTCTACAAGAATAAAAAAGATTTTTATGAACTATATAAAAACTAATATCAAAATATTCACTTAGCTGAATATAAGCAAAAACTTAAATCCATGTTTTATACTTTTTCCAAAAAATTTAGATTAATTCTTGGAAAAGGATAAAGTTACAATACTCAATTTTTTTAAGTTATAGAAAGAATTGTCCAATTACTTGTCTGTGATTTAATTATTGAACTTATAAGAGTTTATTTTTGTTGCGATGGAATGGGAAAAGAGAGCATGTGACCTTTTTTATCCTCAATGTTAAAAACGTGCAAACAAGACTAGACTATATGAAATTTAAAAGAACGAACATTTATTACAAAACATATTAAAACAATAAAACAAATACAATATTTTACAAGATGGGCTTGCACAAAAATGTCCTTTTGTGTGTCTAATTTAAAAAAATAAAATCTTGATAACATATCAAGCAATATACATGTTTTAAAAAGATTTCAAACCAATCTTCGAAAAATGACAAAAGTTTGAAAAGCTAATTCAAATTTTTGGATAAGGCAGAAAATACTTTTTGAAATAAAAGTCACATGCACCCACCTAATAGTAAGATGAAAAAAAAATCACAGCATGAAGGGAGCTTAGGTAATTTCAAACTACTGATGTCATGAGGACATTTTATATTTTTTCTTTTATAGAAGGGTTTTATTAATCAGTTTTTGTTCCTTTATGCAAATTCTTCTCAGGAGGCAGCCAAATTTTATTTCCCTTCTTGGTCCTTATTCTGCCTTCTGGATGAAATTTTTGTATAAGTTCATCTCCATTGAAATATTTGGTTCTTGTTTGAAGATTTGACCTTTTGAAATTTGAAACCTTCGACTATCAGCAGGCTCCTTCCCTCTTATCATTCCCTTTTGCTGTGAAACCTCTTTATTAAGTAAATGTATTTACTGTCTTAAAAATGTATTTTTGCAAAATATTTATTAAATTAAATTTAATAACTTAATGTCTATGTTTAAAATGATGTTTCAAATGTCTGATCAAGTGTTTACATTTTTGGCAATAACTTTTTTTTAACAAATACTTACTGCTTTTTGCGGGGTTGGTTGTTGGTACTGGAATCTTCAAGAACTCACATGCAACTTCCTCCATTTCTTCCACGACTCTCTGGTTTAGTTTGTTTGCAATGGCAAGACACTTCACCAAAAGATTTAAAGATTCTTCAAATTGGCCTTCACATTTCAAAACCAAACTCTGTAGAAGCAGACACTGGAATGCAAACCATAGAAACATATTCAGATAAAAATTCTTCAAAGAGAGTTTGAGATTAGAGCTTTTCCTTCTGACAGAAAATTTCATTTTTTCCAGGCTTTAAAGTTTTTAACACAATTTAATTTTCTTCATTCTTTACCTTAATTTTCCAAGTACTTCATAACTTTCTTGTATGATGACCACAACTCATTCAATGGTAGAACAAAACAACTCCTTTTATGGAGTCCAGAAAGAAAGATTAGTCCAGAAAGAAAGTAAAAAAATATAACAAAATGATTTTTCTTCCTTTTGGCATTTACTCTTTTGTACCAAATACAAGTGCCACCTGGAATAGTCATACTAGTGATAATTTTTCGGTTTATTTGCAGATTAGGACCCGCATTCTGTTTGCATTAAAAATTTCCCAAATACTTACATTTAGGTATAAATGTATATTCATTTGAAAATGACTTGATAAATTTGATAAACTCTACTGTTTTGGAGTTATCAACAGCAAAAGTTTAGATTCATTCGCATCTCATGTGTGTCAACCATTACTGGCATTGTTTGCATATATTCACTGTGGAAAGTTAAGTGCAGAAGAGAATGTAGTTAATGTCCTTGTTTACTGATCTTACTTGTCTCAATTACTGTGCAAGAAAACTATATTGCATGTGCAATAATCAAGACAAGTGAATATTCCACTCATAGTTATTCCACAGCGAATGTATGCAAACAATGCCAGTAATGGTTGCCACAAATGATGCAAATGAATCTAAACTTTATTTGTAGGGGTGACCCATAAGGAGCTGATGTACCATTAAACAAAAATCAAATCAAAAATCCTTGAAGGGAAATATTCAATGTCCTTCAAGTACGCTAACATTTGAACACAGAAGAAAGATAAAGTTTTTCTCTTCTAAAAAATTAAAAACTCAACATGAAGACAAAATAAGTGTTGAAAGACAGATCCACAGAAAAGTCACCTCACTTCTGTATAGTACAGAAGAGTTGTGTGTTTGGAATCAATATTTTCACAAAATGTTTGAAATCATTGATGAACATCATCTGAATTAACAATCTGCACACAAACTGACAAAATGTATTGCAAATTTTTTGGAAAAGTTTTTGCTGCCAATGCATGCCAATGAAGCAAGCAATATGTGACATGAACTTCAAGAACTGTCTTTTTCAGGAGGGCTGTGGATCCAAACCGATTTCTGGGCATAGCTGGAGCACCATCCGTACAGATAAAACCAATGACATTCATATTCAAGTCCATATCTCAAGAAATTCTCTTAAACAAGTTCAAACACATCCTGTGATTTTGTTGTGATCTTCAGTGGTTCACAATTAATAAAATGCATTCTAAGATGACACTAGTTGGCTACAATGAGCAATGTCTGTGGATTATTCCAGATGCAATGGTATTTTCATAGATCATTCATCACTTGCTTCAAAATATCATGGCTCATATCAACAATATTGTTTTTGATGACATCATTACACATTGGAACTTGTATTATCATCCTTTATGCATCCATCCTTAGAATGATCTTGATAATTTCAAGAGCACAAAAGTCTTCACTAATTCTTTGACCATTTTAGGCACTTTTTTTTCTTTTTAGCCACTTGATAAGCAATTTTATAGGATGCTTCAAAGAGAGTCTTTCCAATTGTTGTAAATCCCAACTTTGTTAGGAGTTCCTTGATGATCAAAACATGCCATCTTCACCTTGAGTGTTTCTTTGTCATTTTCCAGCCTATGTACCACCTACAGTTCAAAAGTTAGAAGCCATCCACAGAATTAGAATGGGTTGAACTTGACAGAAGAGTATAAAAACAAATGAAAAAAAGCTCCTAGAGTGATTGAAAAAAGAATGGAATCAATTATCAAACTTATACTTTGAAAAACTTTTGCAACAATTTGTGCTGCAGTAATCAAGACTAAAGGAAAATATTTTGACAAGAGTAAAACTCAATCATAAAATGCTTTTTTTCCTTTTTGTCATAATAAAATTTCTAATAAAATGTCTTTTTTTTAACCATGTATAATAATTTTCTCTTATTTAAAGTACAAAACAACTACTTTTGGGGCTAATTTAAAAAAAAATTACCAGTAGTGGCCACAAACTTTTGAACTATATTTTAAGCATTTAAAATGTTTGTAAAGTTTAGACAACTTCAACTTTGCATTTTAAAATACCACTGAGTATAAAATGTTTAGCGGTCTTTCTGTTCCATCTTTTTCATTTGTACAAGTGAACCCAAAACAATAGTTATCATTGTTTCTTTTCTTGGACATTTTGAATATGCTCTATGAAAAAGAAAATGATTTATATCATGTCATAAATCAGACAGAAACTAAGTAGTTGAAATAATTGAATTTTGCAATCTTTACATAGACATAGGAGTAGACAGGCCATATGGGGCTGTTTCAACCAAAAGGGTGCTTATTATTATATTAGTTTTTATTTCAAATTTGGAACTGATTTTGCATCTAAATTTCAATTGTATAAATCTGTGAGTGCAGTGTTCTTTGATGTTCATTTCTTGACTTCTACTTTTTCTTGCCACTTTTGTCTCGACTTTCAGAAAATTTCTTGAACCCTTTCTTACACTCCTTAGTTAATAACCATGGGCCTAAGAGAAGGAAAAGTGAATTCAAAATCATCTTGAAGAGGGATGGGCTTTGTCAAGTTATCTTGCTTGAGACACTCCTAGTACTGCTATAGTTGAAGTACTTATGGTCTCTCTTGGGCTATAAAGGAGTTCTTTCATCACAGTGAAAGATTTGTTTTGTTATGGTTTATCAACCTTTTTGCAGGTTATATAAAGCCAGGAAATATTTTAAGATTTTTTTAAGATAATGATTTTTACTGATATGAGTTCTAATTAATCCGTAGCCAGAGGGAGAAGAGGTGGATTCATACCTTTCACATGTAAGTGAATATAACAAACCCAAATAGAATTGGAACTTGGAGAGCCAAGTTTCAAATCCAAGCTATTATCTGTTGAACCACCTGCACATCCAAGCTTACAACACCTAGTATTCCCAAGTGGTTACCCATCTAAGTACTGACCAGGCTCGATGTTGCTTAACTTTGGTGAGTGTATAAGAACCAGTGTTTCAATGTAATATGGCCATGAACTCATTGTGGGCTAGGAGCATTCCATTATGAGAAGAGTTGTAGCTGATGGCTGGCAATATCTGATCAATATCAATTAGGTCACTGTAGAGAAGAGGTATGATGTTGTAAGACCCCAAATGATCCATGGTTAAAAACATCACTGATGCATACCAGAGAATCTGTGAGAAGCATTTCATGAAAAAGTAATTACATTAGAAATCAGTTTTGCTAAATACAAGATCAGATGAAATAAAAACATTTGATAAAAAAAGTGGGCAATGTTTAACTTTTGTGCTGTTATGTGAGACTATGATTTGTGTAATAAAGGATAAAAAGAAAGACTAATCCAATGATTATCTCATTAGTTAAGAACATTGGTTTTTCTCTCTTTTCTTTTTTGCTGTCCTTTCATTCTAATTACTTCTTGTATGCATGCAGGCAAATGGTAAAAGTGAATTGTAGTATTTCCCTATACCACCTGCAGGACAGTGACAGAAGTGGGTGGTTGATTGTTTCTGATATCATGCATATTGACTCCATAGCAGGTTACATGACTATAAGCAGATATGGAAGTGCCAAAATCAAAGATCTGACAGTTGGAACTAACCAGCCTAACATGGCCAACTCATGCACGTGTCTGTTTAGAGGAGCAGAAAAGGCAGTAACTGAATGAAATAATGGAATTAACCAGTTTTATGCCATGAAGGAGTTCCAGAGAACTACATCTATGAATTATGGAATTATTCTCAGCTATGAAAAGATCTCAAATATTAAATTCAATGACTGCAGAAACATTTTTGCTTAACAATGAATAACTGAAATCCAGTGGGGAAGAATATTGGCATTCCCCATAGATTCAAACATACTATTTCTTAGAACTTGTTGATCAATTCAAGTCAATTCATGTAAATACAGGGAGCTATTTGATGTAATTCTCTATGAAAATACTGACATATTGAATTTGAAGAGCAGATAAGTCCTACTCAAATTCCATTTAACACATGATATTGAAACTTATGTGTTAAATGCCACATTCACTACATACTCACCCAAAAACAAACTTTTTATTCATCTTCTCTTTTTCTTTTCTTGCTTTTTGTGTTATTGAATTAAATTGTTTTAAATTGAATCCATGTGTTTGCTGTCTTTCTTTCACTGATTATTGTGTTTTTGAATGACTTGTTCCTTATCTATAGACATAATATTTATTATTTACCATTTCCTTGTATGAATCCAGGGAATCATATCAGAGTCAAACCATCTCATATTCTGGCTTAAAATATAAATGTAATTTATACCTGAGACTTTGGCTGTGAGACACAAACAAAAACTATATCAAAAGGACTGTTACTCATATGACACTGTTATTATTGTTTACACTTTTGACTCCCTCGGCAATGTTTATTGACAAGATTATAAATATATGTGAACCAAGTAGAACACAATATTTATTATTTACCTTTTATAATTTATTGTTTACTATTTTATAAAGAAATAAATTTGAAAAATTTTTTTATTCAAAAATTTCTAAAAACTCACAAAATTATCAAAATATGTAAACCGACTACAATGCAATATTTATTATTTACCATTTTATAAACAAATATGAAAACAAGATTTTTATTCATAATTTTATAAAAATATCAATGAACTAAATATTCTAATTGCAGAACGAAGAAGAAACAATTAAAATTTAAAGCAATTAACACAAGATACAATAAATGAAAAATCAGGATATATGTCTCTTGTATGAATAAAAAAAAGATAAGTGGAATACAGGTTTACACAAGAGTGGGGATGAGTTGTGACTTACTGGGGTGACAGCATTGGTGAGCTCGTTGAGTCTGATGTCTTTGGAGATGGGAGGTTGCATTTTATGAGCAATCAGATCAAGATGTTGTTCAACTGACTGCTGTCTCTTTGATTGGCTTTTATGTCCTTCTTGAGGCTCAGATCAGTTCCAGTTTTGATTTTTCTTTAGGCAGAAATTGGTGCTATTAGGTGAAAATTCTGGATTGTATTGCTTTTTTTTTTTCTTTGAACGTGTCAGTAAAAACAGAAGATACGTGCAGAGCCTTGTGCAGCTGACAGATTTTTACTTGAGTTTTTGGCATTCAATGTTCACATCTGGCCAGTGGTGGAAATTAGTGTAGCATAAATCAGAAGATCTGATTTGGGGAACAATGCAACATATAGAACAAGAAAATTTAAATAAACATATTTTTTCATACATTTTCTTCTCAGATTATTTTGTATGTCATATTACATCTTGTTTTAATTATTCAATTTTTATAAATTTATGAATAAAAAGTTTCTTTATAAAATAGTAAATAATAAATATTTCAATATAGTGGATTTACATATTTTTATAATTCTGAAAATATGAAATTATTTTTGTCAATAAACAATATAATAAATAAATAGTGTTTAACATCTTTGTTGTCAATTCTCAAGAATAAAGAAAATGTATATATCCACTTCTATACGGTTGGGTTTTATTAAAATTCTAATCACTTTTTAAAACAAACATTGCTTATGGAATAAAAAGTGTATACAATAATAGTAGTGTCAAGGGAATAACTGTCCTTTTGACACACCATTTTTTTTGCATGCACAAAAGTCAAACATTGCCAAAAAGTGTTTGTTATAAACTCTTACCTGGCTGTTATTTGGATGCAGACTAATTAGTTTTTGTGCATCTTTTGCTGCCATTTTGGTCTGTGAGATGTTCATGAAAGTGACACAGCGAGCTGCCAACAGGTCAGCATTATTTTCTTCAATTTCAAGACCAGCATTGAAAAATGATAAAGCAGCAAAGAAATTTCCATTTTTGAATGATTTTTTACCTTTGTTCAATAATGATTTTGCCTGAAAAAAGTCAATTTAGAAAAAAACTCAATTGGAAAATATTTTTTTAATAATTAAAATTTTTTAAAAAGTTTTCAGCACAACTAAGTTTAACTGGTCATTTTACAATTGTAGATAAAAAAAAAGTACAAATAACTCTTAAATAAGTCAAGGATTGATTTGACACTATATCTATATTATGAACATGACCCCCTTCCTTCGAAAAAGAAAAAATACAATATTTTTTTATTCTGATAAATATTGGGCTTAGAAGAAATAGAAGATTAAGTTCAGTCATGTTAAGCTTTCTTTAAGAGAGTATCCTCTGTCATGTCAAGCTTTCTTTAAGAGATTAAGCTCGGCCATGTCAAGCTTTCTTTAAGAGATTAAGCTCAGATGTGTTAAGCTTTCTTGAAAAATTTAAATTTTATTCTTACCTCTTTTATTTCATCTTCTTCATCAATTGGTTGACTGCTGGTTACAGCACTTAAGAGGCTCAAATAAGAAGCAATTGAACAATTGGCACTTGATTCCCTGCCTTCCATTTCTTCCTTTTCTCTTTGTATCTTTTGTGTCATCATATATGATTTAGTTTTCTTTCCATCTTATGTAATACTAAAACATGAATGCCATAATAATTCAATAAAAGGAACAATACAAAAATAATATTTAATACAAAGTCTTACAAAAACATGATTTAATGCAAAAATACAATTTAATAAAACAATAATGTGAATATAATGCTAACATAATACAGTAGACAATACCGTATCTAAAATCCTTTCAGATAGAAATGTTTCAGAATTTGGAATTCTCAGATTTTGAAATAGTAATATACAAATGTGACACTTTTTAAAGTGATTTCCCCCAAAGCAAGCCAGTAAAGCCACTAAGACACAAAAGGGTTACAGGATGTGAAAGAATTAAGAACAGAAACACTAATAATGAGCGGGAAGAGGAAAGAGTAATCAAGAGGACAGTAGATAGTGACTGAAATTGTATTTAAATTTCTAAAGATTAAAGTTGGCTGGAAAGCATGTAGACAGAAAAGTGTTCCACAAATGAGAAGTGCAAGCAAAAAATGTTATCATCGAATTTATGGCTACATCTGGCCAGCTCAACTGTAATTTAATGAGAACTCGATGCCAGTCTAGTACTGTGCTTAAATTAGAAAATCTAGGTACCATAGTGAAGAGCTCATCTGAACAATTACCATGAAAGTGTTTATAGAAAAGATACACAGAGGCAATCTTACAGTGGTGGGAAAGTGACTGAAGCCAAGCTGCCCGATCAAGACTGACATTATTGCTGATTCCTCTTTGAATTTTATCAAGGAGATCAAGGTAAATAGAAGAGGCACTGGACCAAACATGGCAGCAATATTTTAAGCATGGATGAATGGTAGACTTATAAATATCTAAAATAGATTCTGGAGAGAAAAATTCTCTCGCACAATACAGTGAACCAACTTTCTTGTTATTGAATTTTTATTTGGTTTTATTATATATATGTGTGTGTGTGTATTTAAGCAGCATATTTTCATTTAAACATGTTTTGTTGAATAATATAGACATATTGTGTCTACTTATTTTTATATTGATCCTTTCAAGTTGTCTAATTCTGATTTTTTTTAACCCAAGTACTTTTGACATTTTCTAAGATCATCTTCAGTGGTAAATTACAAAACAAACATGCTATTGTAACCGATGAACTGAAAGACACACTTAAATTTTTATCCGTTGTAGTCATGGAATTTTTACAAAACAAGCATTTCAATATAAGGGAACTGACCAGAAGTTGGTAGAAATATAAAATGGCATTAAATATTATATGCACTTTAATATGTTGCTATATTTGTAATAAATTTTGTTGAGCACTGGTTGATTTTGATATAGAGGGCCTCAAGAATTTAGAGTTTTTGTTTATTATTTAAAAGGATTAGCATAAAAATAAATACAACATGTCTTTATTATTCAACAGTATATATATATATATATATATATATATATAGTTGCTTTTTTTTATTTGTTAATGTTATTTTAATTTGATAAATTATTTATGTATTTAATAATAGGTTTTGATTTAACCATTTTCTTTAATTTGTAAGTATTTCTTTCAGGAAAGGAGATATTTGAAAAACTCTGGGGCACAGATTAACATTTTGGCAAGATTCAATAGCAGCACTAAATAACTTTCAATTTATTATAAGTTATTTTCTTTTTTAATAAATGTAACATTCTTTAGATCGAAGTTGTGGCTGACATTATTTCTGAGTATAACTAATGCATTTGATAAATTGTTATATACAAGATCCTTTTTGTGTTTATATGTTTTTTTAAATTTCTCCAAGTTACTTCAATATATTGTAAGGAACGGGCATTTTTTATATACAGGGTGCAATGTTATATTTTTAATTTCATGCATGCACATTATTTGTTTTTGATTTCGTCAACAGCACAGTATAGTAAGGTCAGTTGAGCCCCATCTGTGAAAAAAAGAGCACCATGACACAATTCTCTACCAAAAATTTGGAAACAGCATGCTGTACTACTTGGCATTCATACTGAAAGCTCCAATACAAACATTTCAGAATGTTTAGCTGTCAGTCTGAGGATAAAATTTGGAAAGAGTTGGATGAGTTCAATGGTGATTACAAAGGTATGGCAGCTTGGAAAACTCACTCTGATCATTCTGATAAAAAAAGAACTCCCAAATTTGTTGGTGAGGGCCTCATAATCAACACAAAGGCCATCATTAGATGCCTTAAGGAGGCAGTGCTGCCCTGAGCCAAGAGGATGACTATTGGAAGACCCTATGTCTGGCAACAGGACTCTGCATCATGCTACACAAGCAGGAGAACCTATTCATGGCTGTCAGACAATTTTTACGACCACATCACCCCTTACATCTGGCCACCTAACTCCCCAGATTACAAACCCCTTGATTATGATATATGGGGCACAATTGAGCAAGAGATCAACAAAATTCCTTGTAACACCAAAGATGAACTGAAGGCAAGGATTATGGCAACATTAACCAACTTGAACAAAGAGATCTTCCAGAATAGTTGCAGGAGATTCCAAAGTTATCTGGAGGCTGTGGTTGAAGCCAATGGCAATTTTAATGAATAAATTTACTCTTTAGTATTTTAAGATATTTTTGTGTCATTTTGGTAAATATATCTGTTAAAATGAGATGTCAATGTTATTGTCATTTTTTGTGTTATTTAAACGACAATTTATACATCGCACCCTGTATACCTGCTTCAGAATTACTATTGTTCTGGTTATTTTTGCTTCTGATCATCTGCATAAATAGTTTAGGAAGTGGTTGTAATTATTTTGATATTGTTAAGATTGGAGAAGTTATTTTGGATAGTAGACATTGAGGAGTTAGTAGTTAGTCTTATATGCCTGTTTTTATCTAGTTTATTATCATAGTAGTTATTAATTTCATTATCTTACTAGGGTGGATAATAACCACAAAGTAGGATTTTTGTCAAAGTATTTTTCCAAACAAATCAACTTATTCAAATTTCATTGATTGTTTTTCAAAATTGAATGAAATGTAGAGTTTGTTAATGAAGAAAAATGTTAATAATAATTCAACAATGCTCAATACTAAGAGGATTTCAAAATAATTCTAGTAAATTAAAATCAATATTTTTAACTGTATGTCTACATGAAGTTCTTGCATTATTATTATCAAATGGTTTTATTCATAAGCATAGAAAATTCATACCTGATACTAAAAATTCCATTATTTAAAAATAATCAAATGAAATTGATGTTAGATATTAATTCAATGACAAATATAAGAAGGTTCTAGAAAGCAAACTTTTGTCCAATATCTTGAGAGACTGCTGTCAGATTCAATGTGCAAAACTGAGAAGACATCTGCAAACAACAATTGCAAGAAGATCCTCAGGTAACATTATTGCGATGTGCAGAAATTTGTATTCCAAGGCCAAAGAAATAAAAGCTGAGTCATGTAATGATGTCTAAGAAAAGAAAATAGTTGAAGAACTGCTGACCATCTGCTGAACTAAGAAAATGAAGAACACTCCAGGAAACAAGAAAAGAAACAATGCAAGGCTGTTTTATTTGCAGTCCAATTGAATCTTTGAATAAAGCATGATACAAAAAAACTCTTTTAGACTTGAAACTGAGTTAGTGAAGAAGAAATGTTTAAAAGGAAAAAAAAAACAGAGTAAAAAAGAAAGAATAAAATATGGCTAATTTCTCTTTAGTTACTTCAAAACAAACTGAGACAATCTGATAACAAAAAAGCTAAACAATCAAACATTTTAACAATTAACTATTAAACATATACAATACACCTAACATGATACCTAAGGTTTAAAATGAAAAATCTTTCTTGAAGTTTTTATTTTAGTTTTAATTTCAAGCTAACAGACTAAATTTAATATTTCCAATAAGCAAAATACTTTGGTGTATTTCAAAAACTAATTTAAATTGACTAGGTTTTTTTTTCCAAAATAGTTGATTAGCACCCTTTTTTAAATCATCTTTCATCACAATGTAATTATCTTTATTAAAAAATCTTCCAAAAATAAAATATACTTTTCTGAAACTTTATTTGAGGACCATTAGATGATTTAAAGTATAATTAATCTGATTTGAAACAAATATTATTTACTTTAAGTTAAAAATATTGTAGAAATGCATTTTTTTAACACATTAAGCTCATGACACGTATAACAGGCAAACACCTTTTATATATAATTTTTAAGTACTCAGTCATCTTAAAAATTTAAGAAAATATTCTCTGTAATCTAATTTTTTATTGAATTTTAGATACTTTCTGGCTTTAAATTTACTATAGTTATCACTTATTTTCTGATAACGTTGTGTATGGGCCACCATATCTACAAAATTGGCACATTTATACACATACAAAATAATTCAAAATTCTTTTAAAAATATTGGTGTTTGATGATTTGTACTAAGCATTTCCATTTATGATTAGTAAATATAGTTTTTACTTAATAATATCATCTAAAAGGATGAAATTAATACAGAATTTTACAAGATTCACTCTTATTCACTGTCACTGGCTTTATATGCATTCAAAGGCATGCTAATCTGAAGCGAGCACATCCAGGTTATTCCATCAAACCCACAGGCAGCACATCCAAGTTATTTCATTAATTGTTTTCTGTTATAAACAACAAAATGAGTGACCCAGTTTTTCTTTACATCATGAAGCCAATGGCATTGACAGGCACATATGTCCTAAGCCTTTTTGAAGGTAAGTGAATTTCTTCTGCACATAAATATCATCATCATCACCTGTCCCTTGATCAGGTGTGGTTATAGGGTCCCTGTGCAGCTGAGCCCCTAACCAGATCCTTCCACATGTCTCAGTAGGTGTTTATTCGTACATAGCATGTCTTGGACAAATTATGCCTCGTGGAGATTTAAAGGCTCACGTTGGTCATTGAGAAACCCTCTGCCCTAGCTACTGATTTCAGTCTAGGAAGCTCTCCATCCAGTGATACTGTGACATCTCCAAACTGGCTGCA